GCATCTCTAGTTAAGGAATTATTCGTACATTTGAATACCTCGGTAACTATTTGAAAACGCTTTTTTAACTAATTGCTTTTATTAAACGTCTGAAGTGATTTCCGTTAATATCCCTAATTCAAAGTAAAAAGTTAAAATAGACCCTAGTCACCAGTTCCTCGTCATTCCTAAAAATATTCACTGAATTTTCTTTCCAATCGTCTTATCAAATCATTTTAGCAGCATGTACCTAACTATTTGAATTAACATTACCCACACAGATGGATCGGTAATCGGTAGAGAAACTGATGTTCTGGTAATCCTTGATTTAACTCCACTTCATTTTTTATGAGGGCACTATACAGGGTAATGTAGTGTATGTATACTCAAAGAGGTTAATCTGAGGGTATACTCATTGACTCAATGACCGTAAATAATGAACATTATTTGTGGAGGCGAATTGAAAATTCAGTTGATATTTTAGGAATCTGCAGGGATCTGATGGCAGTCCATCAGTTTGAACTTTTACATCAAATTACTCTGTGTAGGGATGTTAACTAAAATCACTTTGTTCATTTAATTTATTGAAGTGATAACTTTTTATGGAACGGTGAACAGATTTTTCTCGGTAACGGCGGCTCCACTCCGGCTTCTTCACGCCTGAGGCTTGGGACGCACATATGCACTTTGAATTCGACATTTTTCTCTTAGTGCGGGTGCATCTGTAGATCTGATAAACTTTTCAAATACAGATTGCGTTATTAAACTGACGGTGATTTTTATATATCAATTACTGAGTGTAATATTGTTGTGTTTGGTGCAGTTTATTTTATAACGCTGATAACAATAAATCAACAAATTAACAAGGGAGAAGCTGCAGATACTGCAAATACTAAGTAAGGGTGCTCATGTACTATATGCATGTTCGAGTTTCGCGTTCTTTTTATTTTCCAATTAAAGTACACACACAATTATACACACTAAAGGAGTTTAAATGCAATTTGCAGAAAAATGGGTTACAAACTTTTGAAAATCATGTTGAAATGACCGGGTATTTATCATTGCAAATGAAATTGCCCATTGCCGTGTACTGTTAAATATTGTTTTAAGAACTAACAATCGATGTTATGCAACAAAATTGTGCCTAAGATCCACTACAATAAAGTTTTTGAAAAACTGTTGGATCTATTTTAAATCGCCTGATTGATTGCCGACGCAAATTCGTATCAAGAAAAGATTAAATTAAATTAAATCGTATCGATAGAATCCCGGTACCGATTCCCTATGTCTTACCCTCCGTCTGTAGTCCATATGCTGTTTAGTGATTCTCATCGGAGACAATTGTTAAACCAGATGTTGAGCTGATATTTTTTAAAGAAGCCAGGGTCAATGTATGAAAAACGCTCAAGATTAAGTGCAAATAAAGTGACAACTATTATTAATAACTTTTAATGCAATATTATGTTCTATTATTTGTTATTTTATTTTGTAACAACAAATAATCAATATTTATATATCTATTTTGTAATCTTTCATATTTAACATAAAATTATAAAAATCATTACTGTTTTGTAATAATATATAATAAATATGTTTTGAATTTCATTGAAAAAATATTTGAGTTTTCTTCGGTTATTTCATTAAACATGGGTTCCGTCTTTTTATTTTCTATCACGCAAAGCATTCTTGATTTTAGATGAGACGATACGAATCTCTCTTTAGCTTATAGTTGCAAAATATGTAAAACAAATTTATTAGGGCTTATTTTCAATGATTAATTGTGTTTACCACGCATAAAAATTAATTTTCGTTTCCTTCATATACGTTTTGATTCCTTTATTATTGAACCTTCTCAATTTAGTTTAATTTTTTAGTCTTGGATTAGTTCAGTTATAATATATTTTTTTTAATCTACGCGCGATGTCTTACACTATGTATGTATACATATAGTGTGTCAAGTGTAACCTATCTCTTTAGCTCTTCCTCGTTTTACCGTATATTTTAAACAGATAGAACGTCTTCAAATCACCAAAATTAATTGATTTTTTAGTTCTATTCAGATACAAGTTGAAGCAGCGGAAAGTATTAAGTAATGCTGAACGCTAAAAACGATTTCGTGCTAAAAATTAGCATTCAGTAATAGATCAACTCAAAGTAGCTTTCTACAAAGGAGCGTCAAAGATTATACAAAGCAAATAAGAAATTACGACTAAAAAATACAGAAACTCAAGAAGAAGAAGAATTTACACAAACCCAAGAAGAGCAATATGTACAACCTCTCGTTGAAGAATATTAAATGTACGCAAATAAAAAAGATATTTTACATTCAAAAGGTACAAAAGTATATTATATCATATAAATTATTAAACCAAGAATAATATTAAAATTATAAAATAAAATTATTATTGCCATCATCCTTTAGACAAGTTCGATATTTTATGGCTTCTATAAATATATGAAGTTATCACTTTTGTCGAGCGTCCCTTGACGCACACCATTTTTTATTTATTATAAACCATAATTTTAGTCGCTCTCAAAATTGAACCAATGTCTCGTCGATAATTACGTTTCCTGAAACGTAAAATCGAGTTTTTCAGTTCTCAATTTGTCCAATGAAGGTGTCAGTTTTTGCAACCAGTTGTTGGACAACATATTATAATCGCTGAAATGGTACAGCATCTTGTGTACAAATTGAAACCGAGTCTAGTCGAGACTGGCTATAGTATATGGTTATGAGCTGGATATGAGCCGGTCTCCACTTGGAAGTCGAAGAATCGGCGTGGAAGCACATTTGTTTTATGTGGCCTGAAGGCGAAAATTCGATCCCATTGGCCGCATACACCAAAGTATCACTATTTTTGTTTTTTTGCTTGAATCTTAGATAAATGTTTTTTATATTAAAGTAACATTATATCTTATTACTATTTCCTCTTAATCATACAGAAATATATTTGTCCCAACGGTCCAATTTTCGACGTGTTAAAATATTTTTTCTTGATCCCCTATTGGAAAGTACACAATTTCGCCACTGTTTTCGATAGCGAAATAATTACTTGTACTCATTACAATGACTATTTACCGTTCCGCCTATTATTCATAGTATATTACGGTACAAGAGACGAAAGTCAGAGTTCCGCCACTGCTTAAAGTTGACGTGATGAATCATGCACGCAGTGGCGGGACTTCGAGTTTCATCTCGCGTACCGTATACAATTTTTGTTGATCCTCGTACTTTCGCCACTGTTTTCGATGGCGATAGCATCACTTTTACCCATTACAAATTTTCTTCATTCCGTGTGGAAAGTAATAACTTTCACCACTACGCACGCTGACGTTGACGTTTTGACAACTATATAAAAACCTTATACTTTTCCTGGCTAATTTCCTCCGAAGGTCAACAAAAATAGTATAAGATACGCAAGACGTGCATGACTCATCACGTCAACTTTAAGCAGTGGCACAACTTCAACTTTCGTCTTGCGGGCCGTAATATAGATACTATTGAAAGCGCTACCTTCTACTAAAATGTTTTACATTTTTATGAAAAGCACATACAATGTGTATGAATAAGTATGAAATCTTTGCATGAATACAACTAATATTTGTATATACAGGGTGAGTGTTTTTCGATGACTAGTACAGGGATCTTGGAAATTACAACAAATCCGAGGAGGTTAAATGCACAAGAATTGCAGTTTTGAATGTACTATTCGAAACTAATTTAAGTTTTTCAAAATTTGACAGCTGTCAAAAGATATTTGAAGAAAAGTAATTTACCACAGATTTTTAAATAACTTCTAGTTCCGTCAATATTAATCTGACAGAAAAATATTAAATAGAAAAGTTGTAGGAAATTGCATTGCAATTAAAATGCCCGAAAAAATGTTTACAAATTAAGACCGATTAAGCCTTTATTAAATATAGCATTTTATTGACGATTTCAGTGATATATCATATAGTCAGGTTTTTTAGAAAATGAAGGGACTGCGAATGATTTTTATTTCTTCAATTTATTTTTTCAAGTATTAACAGTATGCTTCAATATTTATTTTGGCAACTACCGTCAAATTGGCAATAACTTTATTTTAAATAGAAACTTACTAATAATAATTAAAATTGAACTATAGAAACTATAATTTTCAAGACTTTTCTCAATTTATTTGAAATGCAGTTTATATTAATATTAACAGAGCTAGGGGTTTAAAAAAAATCTGCAATAAATCAGTTTTTTATTTCTTGTGGCAGCTGTCAAGAGAGGAAATAAAATTTGTTTCAAGTTGAACATTCAAAATTGCAATTCTTTGCTCACTTAATCTTCTTCAAATCTGCTGTAGTTTCCAAAATCCCTGTACTCGTCATCGAAGAAAACTCACCCTGTATAACAGTATATTTGTACATATTCCTTTTTTTTTTACTTAAAAAGTTGCAGTGGTTGAGAAAAATTGCGTGTATTCTTGGATTCGTGTGCCAAACGTTAGTCAAAGACAATTCGATGTAAATTTGTTCCGTATTGTTATATCATTGTTTATAGGAAATGCTAAAAATTTTGTCTTGAAAATAGTTCTAACATACGGGTTAATTTATTTGGATTTTGATGTTATTAGTATTTTTAAGTAGGCAATTTACGTAGGTAGATAATGAATTGTAAGCAATCATAAACTGTTGATATGAGCAGCAAGTGGAAGCAGTAGAGTTCGATGAATATTTTACTAATATCTGGACACTTAAACGATTGCTTGCAACTAAGAAAGTTTGTCAGAGCTATGTTTAGAGATGCATTATTTTATTTACTTTCACGAATGTCTTGTGTTTGAAGTTTGTCTTGAAGTTTGTCCATCTAAATAAAATTCACTTGCCAAGTAAGCTTAATTAGTTCAGATAAGCTGAATTGCTGGACGAAATTTAGTTGGATAAGACTCATGCACAATATTTCTGGGAGACTGGAAAAATTGTCAACAAACTTTTTCGCAGTTAAGTAGATTTATATGTTCTTTCTTTCATGAAATTTTCATTTGTTCCAGGTTAGCAAATTCGACCAGATATCCACTATGGTCTGTAATGACTGCATTATCAGACTGGATACATGGTTTGCCTACAAGAAACAATGTCATAAGAATCAAACCAAATTGACAGAATGGCTAAATATCAGCAAGTCCAATGGGATAGAATTACATGAAGCTGTAAGAAATATAATAAATAAATTTAAATGCAACTTTTGATTAATTTTGATACTATCTTTAGGTATTAAACATAAAAACAGAATCTCTGGACCCTTTTGAATCCGGACTGCCAGTTAAAGTTGAGGTAACTTGTGAAAATGATGAATATACTTCTACAGATGTATCTGCTTATCAGTACGACAACGACATAGATTTAAGTGTGGTAGAAACTGATGGTACGATATTTTCAATTATTTAAGTAAATTACTTAATGTAATTGTGTATTGGTTTCAGACGACAGGCGATGTTCAGACTGTGGTAAGATGTTTGGTAGTTCTCAAAATCGCCGACGACATCAAAACATGATGCACCTGAAGAAAGAACGAAGATTTCAAATGGCGGAAATCAAAAAGGCGAAGCCTAAGCTGATCACTCCAATTGAAATTCCTAAACGACTTGATGCAGATTCAATTCAGAAAATTGAGAAAAAACCAGAAGAACTTAATGGAAATACGACTAGTTCTTGTGATGTAACTAGCCACAGGAAAGATGAATGTAATTCTGAGACTAATAAGTTTGAAGAAGCAGATACCGAAATTCCAATTTTAACAAGAGGTAATTTTTTCTCTAATGTTCTTTAATGATAAGTTTTTTTGCACTATTTAAATATAATATATATATAAAATAATATAAAAAAGATCTCCTGATTCATATCGACACGAACAGAACGGTTTTCGAGAAAAAAATATTTTTATTGAATACGTATTTACTGAACAATTTTGTATGTATGTTCAACATGAGCTCCTTCCAATCTTATGCACTCCCTAGCTCGAAGAATTGTAGATTGTTCGTTCTCCACAATGCTTGAACATTGGTTCTTATTTGGCCGCAATGAAAATTAATGCTTTCTAATAAGTTTTCCCTAGTGGCGACAGGATTGGCATACACTAAAGTGTTTAAATATCCCCCCCAAAAAATCTAAAGGGTCCTCCGCTTCCTATCCAACGTTGGTCGAATTGCGTGTTTAAGTGTTCTCGAACTGCCAGGCTGAAAGTGCCCCATCATACATGAATCGCCATCGCCTGTCGTATTGCCAACGATGCGTCTTTTAAAAGTCCGTAAAAATCGTTCCGCGTAGAGGCTGTTGCCTCCTACGGCATCACATGCTGCAAGTCTATAATACATTAAGTGCATGTTAACATATTCTGAAAACAAAAAGTCCATTACGAAAGAAATGGAATTTTAGAATAAGATAAATTTTAATTAATAGTAATATTGTATTGTATAAATTGTAACAACAATAAGTTGTAAAAGTAGCAAACTCTGTAGCTAACTGACAGTCAAAAATAATTTTTACCTTACTTTTGTACATTAAAAAACCAACTCATAATGACTTAATGACGAAAAACATGGCCCACCAACGCATGCATTAAAATCCGTATTCAATAAAATATTTTTTCATCGTAAACCGTTCTGTTTATCGATATGAATCAAGAGTGTATTTTTTACTTTAAGGGTAAAGCTATCTAAATACACACATTATTTTCGTGTCTTCATTGTAAAAGGTAAATAATCTAACTATTATTGTGCTCCACCTAGTCCACCGCTGGCAAACCGAAATGCGAAAAGTGTTTTTATGGGTCCTTTTTAAGAGCAATGATAACTGTTCATTTTATGAAAAAATAATTAACTTGCATGAAGTATTCTAAGTTGTTCTCAGGTCGCTCCTTTAGAGACTCCGTAAAGAGACCCTCCTGAAATTTTTTTTAGAAACTTGTTATGTTTTTTAACATCCCCCGTACAAATCCGAGAGCATGTCTACATATTCCGGGACACCCTGTATAATAAATAAATATAATTAAAATGAATTGTTAATCACAACTGAAAATGAGAAAAAAATTAAGAGATCTTAGGTATCAATCTATTCAAATTATTTAAAATTGGCGTCAGTGTTCTGGAGGTGTTATTTGGGGAAAATTAGGAAATAGAGAACAGTACTAAAAAATATTAATTCTTAAAAATAACTAAAATACGAAGTGATACATTTTCATGAAATTATTTTGTCGCACCTGCAAAAAACATTAAAGTTATAAATATGGTTTACTCCCATGATTGAAAAGAAAGATGGGCATATCCCGATACAATCCTTTTCTCGCATACCTAATTAGATTAAATAACACCCGCAAATCTGTAACTATACAGGGTGTTTGGTAAGTAGATGCATTTCTTGCAGGGGGTGATAGTGCAAGTAAATTTGGATATATTTTGTTAATAGACCAGGTTTCGAAAACCATTAGTTTCCGATCTACAGGGTGTTAAAGTTTTAAGAAAAAAATGTTATTTATTAATATTTCGGAAACCGATTGGAACATTATAATGAAATTTGACAGGCTTAGTCAACTAAGAACAATACACCTTTTGTGATGAAAATGTTGTTTCTATCTTTTCCAGTGGCGTGGGTACAGGCACGTCTAGATAATTTTAAATAGAAAAATGTTACGCCACTGATTTTTCTAAAAATAAATAATATTTGTCAAGTTCCTGTTAAATTTGAAACAGGTTTCTTGACTTTTTTTTCTACAACGTCAGGTTTGCGAGTAAACAAATTTAAATCAATGCATAGCTTAATCGGGCTATAGTTAAGTATGGTTTAGTATAAAGACAGCAAAAATTGCGCAGCATACAATCTAGTATCAATTTTATTACATAAATTATTACTAGCCTCAGTTGACATCAGTCTTAGAGTTTCTTTATTTGTTTTTTGCCTATTAGATGAATTTACCTGCTAATTAAACTTTTACTTATTCTTAGTATTGAAATGAGCACCCAGCCTGCTTTGATACGGAAAAAAAATATGTTATTCATTAACTCTTAACTACTTAAGATCTTGATCAAAATGAAGCCACCTTCTCTAACGCATGCATGTGCCCTCCTTTTTATTCTCCATTTCAGTCCGGGTTACCCTAGCCGAAAATGTATGTCTAAGTGCAATAGCGGCATCTGTAATGCGCTGTATTAATTCCTCCCTTGTATGTATTTTTCCGGCATAAACCAACTGTTTTATCCTACCCCATACGTGAAAGTCTGACGGAGTTAAATCTGGGCTTCTGGCAGGCCATTATATGGGGCGTCCTCTCCCCATCCATCGATTAGGAAAACGCTGATTAAGGTACTCCCTTACAGTTTGCTCCTACGTAAATTTGCCTACCTTGTACTTTTCCTGACTCACTGACCTTTCGGTAGGTGTTTGCAAAGACACTGATATTTGGAAGCCGCCACTATTTTTGTCGCAAAGTCCATAAATGTAAAGAATATCTGCATATTCAGCATTGGAAAACTCAGCCATTTCAACCAATAAAGTTTCCAGCTTATGTGAACTTACTCGAAATTACATAAATCGCAAAAAGAAGGTGACAACTAAAGTTACTCAGACACTCGCAATGACAGCAATTATTGCTTTTGTCAATCAGTGACAAAAACTAGTGCAGAGCCAACTTTTTAATAAAAACCCGATTACGCTGTGCAATAAATCGATTTTAATTTGTTTACCCGCAAAGGGAACGTCGTAGAAAAAAAGTCAAGAGACCTTTTCTTTTCCAAATTGAACAGGAACTTGAAAAGTATTATTTACTTTTAGAAAAATCAGTGGCGTAACATTTTTTTATTTAAAATTATCCACAGACGTGCCTGTAGCCACGCCACTGGAAAAGCTAGAAACAACATTTTTATCGAAAAACGTGTATTGTTCTTAGTTGCCTAAGCCTGTCAAATTTCATTATAATAGTCCATGCGGTTTTCGAAATATTAATAAATAACATTATTTTTATTAAAACTTTAACACCCTGTAGATCGGAAACTAATGGTTTTCGGAACCTGGTCTATTAAAAAAATATACCCAAAATTAATTGCACTATCACCCCCTGCAAGGAATGCATCTACTTTCCAAACACCCTGTATAGTTAATATTTCTAAAACGCTAGTGAATTAGCGACTCCATGTATTATGAATTTGGGTATATCATTTGGATCCCCGATAAATTTTAAATAAAAAGTTCTTTAAAAACTGTTTATTAAAAAGAAATTGGCGCCGTCGGTAGCATGTTTATATTCAAGTTAAAAAACACTCGTAACTTTCAAGTGGGCTATATTTTTGTTGATCATTTTCTAGTAAGGTTTAGTAAACAAGATTGGGAGTACCTAACTATCGGAATATTCCGAATAACTAAAATCCTAATAATTTTCCATGCGTTCCCAATATTCGGTATTATTTTCTTCGGAATCAGAATCAGCGATAGTATGTTATTCTTGGATTCTGTATTTCGGGGGACTCGGATTAAACTTGGCACCATTGGTTGGCTCTACTGGGTGCCACTTAAATACCGAACATTTGGTTGGTTACGTGTTTTTCGAAAAGTTCCAGAAAAAATTAGTTACAAGTTTAACAAAATGCACTTAAAATAAGCACACATTAAAAAATTTTTACTTTTACAATTGCACGTCTGTTCGAAATTCACTTTTCCACTTCTCCTGAATTGTGTACTCTGATTACTGGCCGTCATCCGCATAGGCTTGCGCGTAGAAGCCCACCCGGTCTAAACGCGCCAGGAGCTAGTCCATAAGCAATAATACCTTTACGAAAGTACTATGTGCTAATCATCATGCTAAGCTTAGTGATGCCAAAGATGTAGCTCCCTCAAGTGCCTTGTTTCCTTGCACATTTTTTTAATTTTCTTGAAACATACACTTTAGCACTTGCCCCTTTTGTTACTTCCACTCTTCAATCACCAAATCGTTGTGAACAGAACAAACAAGTCCGTTGCATAGTATAGGACCAATAATCCACAGCATCAAATCCATACTACAGCCAGTTTTTCGGGGTGTAGGTGGCAGTTGTTGATATTCTTCCGGTTTGTCGCCCCTCCAGATCCGATAATTATGTTTGTTCACATAGCCGTTTAACCAGAAATGGTCATCGCTGAGAATAATTTTCTTATGAAAATCTGAATAATTTTCGATTTTTTCTAAGCACGAATTACTCAACTCACGTCTCTTTAAATGATCAGTCGCTTTAAGTTGTTGGGTGCGTTCTAACGATTTTGTATGGATGTAATCCAAAGTCTTTTCGTAAAATTCGCCACAAAGACGTCTTGGAGATGCCTTGTTTTTATAAACGACGAGAAATCGATAAAGTTTTTATCTTCAGGAACACTTTCACGTAGGTACAGCAGCAATATTTGTTTTACCTCTTGCAGATCCTTGTCTCACTGGAATAGTAACACCATAAAGTGTAAATTTTGTTTCACTGTATCACTAAACCTTTGGTTGTTCTTTTATCTGGACGGTTGTAACGACCAAAAATTGGAGTTAATGCACGTAAAATATGAGTAACAGAACCCGACTTTTGATAAAAAATTTGAATTATTTGTAAACGTTGTTGAAGAGTGAGCCTTTCCATAATTATATAATAGACATTTACAAATACAAATATCAATGTCACAAATAAAAAATTGCCGCCGTGGTAAGTGTCCATTTAAAAATGGGGCGTTTCCAATGAAAGCCCTGTATTTCCAACTTATTTAAGTTGTTATTCAAATATTTATCAGAACCATTTTTTGTTTCAGTTGAAGAAACAACAGCTTTACTGATCCCTGGTGGAGACTCATTAGAATCATCAGCCGAATCTGCAAATATCGATGAAGGACCACCAATTCTTGAAAGAAATGTAATACAATCTGAAGAAAAGTACAATGTGGAGCAAAAGCAATCTGAACCGCAAACTAAACCAGAAAAAACGAACCCCGCTAATGAAACTAAGCTGGAAGAAAAGCTCATGAAATTTGAAGAAGATGAGAAAAAAATAGAGTTTGCAGCTGGATTGAAACTTATCCAAAAAGACTCTACGCCTAACGAATTTCACAACCTGTCTAAAATTGAGATCAGCTATCTTGAAAAGTGCAAAGCAATGGTATCGATGTTCCAAACATTGCAGTGCGCCTGCCATGATGTGCAACACAAAACCATGCGAAATCTTTTATCGCATTTGAGGGAAACACGAATTTGGTTTCCATTGTTTACATGTTATAATTGCATGATATCGCTGACGGATCGCTCGACTTTCACAAAACACCATTCCAGGTGTCCTCAACCACAACTAGACGCATTAAAGAAGTTGTCCAACTTACGGAAACGAAGCCAGCTTAAGTCAAGATTGTATCAAAATTTTAAATGTAACCGGTGTAAATTTTTGTTTTCGTTCCACGAAGATTTCTGCAAGCATGTCAATGATTATCATGCTCGCGGGTCGCCCCCGTTTTACTGTTCGTGTCGTTTTGTATTTAATTCATTGGAGGAATACAAAACCCATTGTTACACTTCTTGTACAGTGTCCTACTATTGTGACATTTGCTTTAAAACGACATCCACTATCGAGGAATTTATAAAGCATGCCGAAGAAGAACACGATTCTTCTGAGGGTTTTGTATTACTTCAAGATAACACGTATGTGCCCCGAAGTCAAGCATTTCGGCACAAAGAAGCAGATGACGAAGCTAACGTACTGGAAGGTAAACGCGAGCGCAAGAAATCGTGTAAAGAACCCGTTGTTGTGCATATTTACGACAAAGAAATTCCTGCTGATGTTAAGGACATTCCAACGAGTGCAATCAGAAGAATGCTTGAACTGGATGGAAGTGTTAACCTTTCAAGTAATAGTAAAGCGCCAAGCAAATGTCCTGTTTGCCGAAAACAATATTCTAGTGTAAATAATATGATGCGGCATTACAGAACCCACATAGAAAAGAAAGAAGTCGAAATACCCAAAATAGAGAACGAAGCTGAAAATGAAGATTTATACACATGTCCGGATTGTGGTGGGGTGTATCCGGCCTCAAAATGGAAAGATCATTTAAAAGAGAAACATTCTCTTAAAGCATGTTCTGAATGTGACAAGGAGTTTCAATTCCAAAACGAATTAGATCAACATAGAAGTGTACATTTAAACATTAAAGTATTTAGGGATTCTAAGACCCAAGTCTATAGATCGGCCATGTTAAGTCCAACGGAAGAAAGTGCTGAACCAGCCGAGTCAGATATGATTACGTGTACGATGTGTGACGATTTGTTCAACAACAAGGATGATTTGAAAAGGCACAAAATGTTACAACATGATTCTAGTACCTTATCAGCTGCTAGCAGTTCTATGGAAAATGTAAGCGAGCTGGAACCTTTATTGGAAGTAACTGAGTTAAATGAGGAGTTCAATAACAAAGCCACTTCGGACCAACTGTTTTGTGATCCGTGTGATAGAGAATTTGCCTCACCGAAGTCTTTGAGAGAACATGTACTGAACAAACACGGTGCCAGTTTCTTGAAAAATGTTGAGTATCCGAAAACCTGTAAACTCTGTGGGAAGAGTTGCACCACTGGTTCTGCTTATAAAATTCACATGCAAATGCACAACAGGATGAACCTGAGCCGTACAGATAAACTGAAAGACGATTTTCCTAAAAAGTGCGAGTATTGTGATAAAATGTGTAATTCTGGAGCGGGACTTTATGTACATACCCAAATGCATGAACGGGTTACTCTAGGAGAGCTGAAGAAAAAAAAAGTAGACAAAAAGAAAGTCGATCTGTTGGAAGAACCAGATGCGGAAGAATCATATCATACATGCAACCGATGTTTCAAAGTTTTCGCTACCAAAGGCAGACTAAAAGAACACTTGAAGTCGCATAGTCTTTCGAAGGCGAGCACCAAAAGGAACCGAAAGGTACTTTGCGATCTTTGTCATCTGGCTTTGGATAGCCATGCGGATTTAAAAAAGCACAAATCTGAAGAGCATAGCGATGAGCTTCCAGACGAGCTCTCTGCGGCTAGCGAAATGGATATGGATGAAAGTACTATGGATACTATTTCAGCCGTCATGTATGCTTGTGATAATTGTGAAGATTCCTTCAGCTCTAGAGCAGAGCTAAAGTCTCACAAAGAAATTCATACCAAATCGAGGTCAAAAACTTTAATTTGTAAATATTGTAAAACGTACTTCAGTTCTGTGAACGAATTAACCAAACATATGAATTTAGAGCATGACGAAAGTTTCAAACACAAAGTAAAAGTGAAAGATAGTGAAAAGTTATTTGCATGCTCAATTTGCAAAAAGACTTTTTCCACGTATGGTGCAATGACGGCACACTCAGGTTGGCACAAAAGATCAGGTAATCGAGGTGTACAAGAACTACCACTTAATTCAGTAGCAGCTAAATCTGCTGCCAGATTAGCAAAGAGACAGACAGCCTTAAGAAAAATAGAAGCAGCCAAGGAAATTAAACCGGAACCGATAGAAGTTCCTGAATTTCAGTGTTCCACTTGTTTAGTGGAGTTGCCAAACGAAACTGCATTGCAGATTCACGTCTTGGAAAAGCATGGAAACCTAGATGCACTCATGCTGGTTCCAAGGTGTGATATATGCAATAAAGATTTTGCTACTCAAGACGAGTACGAAACCCATAAACGTTTTCATGATTTTCTAGAGCGCCAAAGGCAACATGAACGCCAGCTGAAAACGCCGATTATTCAAAGTGTTGAAACGGTAGTTGAAACTCCCGCTGAAAGTACTTCAAAAAGAGTTTTTTGTAGTTGGTGTAGTTCCAGTTTTAGTAGACAGGATACTCTAAATACACACATTAAACACCATCATAAAGAGCACGTTAAAACAGAGTTTGAGTGCAACCAATGCAATCGAATCTTTGATAAACAGAGCTCATTAACTATCCACTTGAAAATGCATCAGAAGCAAAAAACTTCAACTGTACAATTTCCATCTCAAAGTGTTGGAAAAACATATGTGTGTTCTTTGTGCAATAAGTGCTTCAACTATCCCAAGGATCTTAGAATGCATACAATTAATGCCCACCCGTTTTAGTAATATTATTATATGATCTATTTAAACATAATATTAGCCTGAAATCAAATGCAATACAAAATAATTATAACTATTAATTTTTCTCCATTGGTTAAAAGATTCTCACTTTGCGATATCTCATTTGAAACACTTTGAGCTTTTAAAGTACACATAGTGACAAAACTGCATTTAACAAATAAAAATAATTTCTATAAAATACGAGCGAGTATAAATTATATAAGAAATATTTTAAAATTAGCTGAAATATTAATAATTAAAATTTGCCAACTAGTTTTTATTATGTAAAGCAACAATTTAAGTACTTAATGCTAAGTTTCAATGTAAATAGTTCATTCTTTTTATTAATTAATAGAATATCTACAGAATTCAGTTCCGGTGCGTTTCAGCGGAGGAATTTCAAACTTAATTTAAATAAAATTTGAAAATAATTCTTTTGTTGTAGTTTTTCCATGCATTCTGTTTATTTTCTTTTCTTATTTATGTTGTTAGATACTATTCCATTATATGTTTGCTCGTAGATTCTTTTATCAACATCGACAAATTTTTCCAGATGCTCCTTCGTGGACGTAGTAAAGCAACGAAAAAAATGTAATGATTTCCTGATGATTTTTCTAGTACAGGACATAAGTAGTGGGGTCACAGTTGTTAAAATATAAAGTATTTTGATCTTGGGTTTAAGAATTTCTGACCTGTACTTCTACACCCTAAGAATTTGTTTCAAGTACATCGTTTGTTTAAGATGCATTAATAATTTTTATAATAGCTGTTACTTTAATTTAGGAACGTCATAAATGATAATCGAATTTCCAGGATTGGCTTTATTAGCGAGAGATTAGATTGGAAAGAACTAAATATTTCTTTAAGGATCGCATTTAAGTTACTGTATATATATTTTTGACAACAAATTCGCATTTGGCTTTTCTCTCGGTTATAATTCAAATTGTTTTGCCTAGAAAAATGTTTAATTTCAATCATGTAATTCAATTCTTCCCACCACGACGGCGGACTCTATAAAAGCCATTGTAAAATATTTGTTGTGTAACTTACGGTTTGTTTACATCAACTATTATTTTAATATACAAAACTCTATGTACTCCTGATTTGAATTTGATTATTGGTATACAGGACAAGTTACACAATTACACTTCTAATAGTAAAAAAGAATTACATGAGAAATTCGTGACTTTTCTAGTAGTGTGATAATTATTTAAAAATATGTTTTCAAATATCAGGATCCGTAAATTGCCTTTATTTAAACCACTTTCAGGCACTAAGAACCTCTAATTTGTTACACCTTGTATATATTTGTGTATAGAAGCAGGTTGATAGGTTGCGTTGAATAAGGGAACTTTTCTTGCTCGTTTTGTGTATTTTTTGTCGGATTAAATCCAATTTAGTTAATTATTTTTGTAATAAATTTGACGATAATTGTAGTTTGTTTTAGTTTTCTTAGAATAACAGTAGACCTTGCAACACCGGATCCCCAAATACAAAGTTTGAATCAACATTTAGGAATATCGCTCCATTTTATTAATTCAGACATCAAAAATTATTTTTCCATAAACTATTTGTTGGGTATTTCGCCTCAAAAAATTTTTCAAACAGAATTTCCTCACGTCATTTATTACAGGTTGATAATCAATCTTATGCTCTTATCTTGCAATAAGAACAACTTATTTATCAAAAGGTAAAATCAGTAAAATGGTGAAAAAAAAGTGGCCATTTTCTGAATCTTTGCATGGGTAACTTCAACATTTTTAAAGATAGAGAATCCGTTAAATGGGCAAAATTGGGCAGAATTCGATTACCTATTCATTACCGTTTTGAAAATTTAGGTACCCGACTTGGTTCCTCAAATATCCTGAATAGACAGGAAATCGACACTTTTAATTATCACGTAAATTGCTTAACTTAGACAAAAAGTTAAAACTGCCCTTAGTACAACTTTTTGCGTTGAATCCAATAAACTAGCCCTCGTTATCATAGTCAACTTGATTTACGAGATAAAAAATAAACCTATGGTTTTTTAAATGGGAATTATAGTTGGCTGTGGGCCTTTTAAAATCCTTATTTTTTTCTGAATTTAACGATATATGTATGTTTTTCTCCTTTTGTTGCCGTAAAACTTCAAGAGAAGATAAAAAATGTGTAGTAGGCTGTGGAAACAAGAACTATATTATCACACAAAACATTAACAAATCGTTTAAACTAAATGTTCAAATTGACTTTCGTTTGCGTCCAGTCATTTTTTGGCATCTTCACATTCAACTCGTGAGTTGTGTGAAGGTGCACTATCATGTTGAAAATATGCCGATTTTCGATAACGATGCTAACGGAAAGCTATTCAACATGTCTTAAGTTCATTTGGTAAAAAGCGTAAATATCTTTCCATATTTAAATTGTGATCATAAAAGAATGAACCAATAATTTTATCACTAAAAATGCCTCACCAGACATTCACAAAAAAAAAACACGTTGACCTCGCCTATTTTCAATTAGATGATGATATTCATTAGCCCAGTAAACATGATTGTGTCTGTTAATTATTTCATTTTTGTTTTGTGCGTTGTGTGATAATATAGTTCTTGTTTCCATAGCATACTACACATTTTTTATCTTCTTTTTCAGTTTTACGGCAACAAAAGGAGAAAAACATACAAACGGTTATATCGTTAAATTTAGAAAAAAAAAGGATTTTAAAACACCCTCACCAACTATGATTACCATTTAAACAAACATAAGTTTATTTTTTATCTCGTAAATCAAGTTGACTATGACAACGAGTGCTAGTTTATTGAATTCAACACAAAAAGTTCTACCAAAGACGATTTTAACTTTTTATCTAATTTAAGCAGTTTACGAATTATATGATAATTAAAAAAGTGTTGATTTCTTGTCTTTTCAGGGTATTTTAGGAACCAAGTCGGGTACCTACATTTTGAAAATGGTAATGAATAGGCAATCAAATTCTGCCCAATTTTGACCATTTAACGGATGTGCTTACAAATATGAATTACAAATGTTTTAAAATTGCTTCTGCAAGTGACGCACATTTGCACATCACTTTATGACGGTGCTATATCATGAAAACGGCAACCTCAAGAGAAATCAGATTCACAGTTTTAAAAAAATGTACATTCGCAGTTATAACGGCGATTTTAAAATCACGCTTTAGGTCATCTCTAGTTATAACAGTGATTTTAAAATCACGCTTTAGTTCATCGTCGTCCGCCTTTACCCCACAAATAGGGGTGACGGGGGACACCCTTTATATAATCCAGAATTAGGCGAAAAAGTTCATGTGTTTTATCATAGTATTCGATAAAGGAAACAGGTAAGACTAAATTATTTTATGGGATATTTTTTATTAATAAAAAAGTTAAAAGTCGACTTCACCACAACGGCATGAAATAAGATTTAACAGAACGTGCGCTCAGTCACCCCATAGTCATATTTCTGTAACATTAAAAGAAAGAACTTTAAACCATTTTTTATTATATTCGGAACAGTCATAACATCAGTATTAAGTAACTCAACACATAAAATAATAGTTTCCTAATTAAAAAATGCATATCACAAATCGGGGAACTCAGATATCATAATCTGTATCAGTTTCTCTGAAGGTATGACAATATTCTATCGAACCTGATCCATGCCTTGGTGCGGAGCCAAAAATAAACAATACATTAACGAATGGCGATCAACGCCTAGCGTTGGTCAACCAAACCTTGAACTTATGAAATACAATAATTTGTGATGAAATCAGCCCCCTAAACTGAAATGGCGGGTTCAGGGTCAACGAAATCCTAATAAAAACAAGATTTGTGCTGATAGATAGATACATATGTTTTAAATTATATTCTCTTGATGAGGAGGCTTAAGCTATACTATACAATCTTGGTAATTAAGTCAACATTTTCAATAGCGACAAAATTAGGTTTCAACATAACTCGATCAAAATCTAAAAAAATCGATTTAGCCCCAAATCGATCAGTTTAATCGACATGTAACATGAGTGCTTTGTGCTGTAAATCCCCATATTTTTGTGTTACAATGAAACCTACAATACTTTTTAGACATTAAATAAATCTAACTCCTATTTTCAGCAACCCTAAGTTCGAAAAATGAAGTAGATTTTCGACATTTAATTATTTTGTTATCGCACTTCCTCCAGTTTTAATTCTTGATACATTTTTTCAGAAAAGCATCTGCCATTACAGTTTGGAAGGTTAACTTCGTTACACTCTCTATAGTAGGCCCTATGTATAATGTCTAAAATGAATACAGCAAAATTATATATTATGGCCATCAAGACTAAGTTCTATACACAGAATTGTCTTTATATTCTTTTCCTTCCTGGGTTTCAGTCAAAGTTTGAAATATTTTTTTTTACATCGTTTATTTCAAAACGTTTCAGCGAGACAAAAGCCCCATCATCAGATTTAAAATTCATATAAACTCATAATTGGGTACACTGGTCAGTACTTTGACTGAAACACAGGAAGGAAAAGAATATAAAAACAATTACACGCAGTCAGAAAAATAAATCAATATACACAGAATATAAAACAATTAAAAAAGTGGACAAAATAAAGTAAGTCTAAAATTAATTGAGACTGTTTTTTGGTTGTTTTAAAGTATTTTGTGTGCTTGTACAATCATATACAAATTATAGTATTCAATCATACACGGTGCTATTTTATTAAAATTGTTCATGAAGCTATACTTACATTTGTTTGGGTCAAGCATCGACTTCGAAAGAATGTTCGAAAAGTCCAGAACGCGTTTCAGCAATCAGCATCCTGTCAATGGTTGTAAGAAAGCTCTCAGGCATTCGATGCATGGAATTCGATTAAACAAATTCGATACATCGAATGATAGCAAAATTTGTTAAATATCCATGCTCTAATGTGAAAAAAAATATAAATTTTTTACGGATATTAAATTAAAAAAATATAATAACATTATTTCTACCAGAATCATATTTTTACGAACTCTTGGCCTAAACGGCCTAAGATATACTTCGGCAATTGGCAGAATGCGATATGGACGAATTTGTCAATCATTGTCGACATCGATGTTTGATCTTGATATATCCAGTACAATAAGAATGTCGTAAAACCTGGCCGTAAATCTGATTTTACCAACGAAAATATTTTTATACTTTTGATTCTTAAATTCATTCTCAACTATTGATTAGCAGGTTCAACTACGTCTAATAAAATTTAACTATTTTTGTCTATGAAAGTATACTCGTCGACTCAAACCAAACAAGTTGTATGAGAAATAAAAATATTGATAATAAACGTGTTGCGATAAAAACATTTCTGAGCAGCTTGGCCTTACAAAAAAATATTAACAAAAACGGCTCAATTAAAAACGCACAATAAAATAGAAATGTACAGATTAAAACTAAATAATGAATACACGTAGTTCACATGGAAAATAAAAAAACATTAAAGTCCGGTTCTTATTTAGTTGTTTTTGTTATGAACTAATACGTTATTAAAATTCCTAAAATCTAAGCAGTTGTATTAATGGCTGGTGTTACATCCATGTTTACAGATTGAATCAGTCCAGCATTCGCATTGCAGTCTGCGGGTGAAACTAAAGGCATCGACGAGGCGCTTTGAAAACTAATTTCCTCTAGATCCCGTTGAAGCTTTGCTAGTGGAGGACATTGCTGGACGACGGATTGTATACTGTGTAGAACCTGATAAAACGAAAAACAGGCTATATATATTTTCATATACCTACACTGTTCATGGTGCATTAGGAATGCTTTGTTAGTTAGTTTTAGTTAGTTTTGATTTATTTTTGCTTAATCTTACCTCTAAAGCTCTGTCTATGGCATCGTATTGTCTCTTAGCTTCAGTTACAGCGTCTTTTAGGCTTTCTGTTAAAACTTGTTTTCCAGCATGAAACTCTTGCTTCAACTCGTTGAGACGTTTTTCTTTTTCCAGCAACCTTTCTTTTAGATTTGGAAGCTACAAATGTTACCCAATGATATTGATAATTCTTTGTTCTCAAAAAACAATAGTCAAGTTTTCAGGTAATTGTATGAGAACAGCTGCTTTTTTGAATAAAATTTCGGCCATATCGTGCCATCATCAGAGTTCTGAAATATCTTCCAGTTTCGTAAAATGGAGTTACTTGCTACCTCAGATTTAAATGTTTTGGCTTGCAATAATATTGTACCGGTGTAAATTGAGTTTATCATTATCCGAGATAAAATCGCGTTTTCGGGTTTCGGTCTGTCGCTTGGCGCTTGTAATTAACTTGGTATTTAAATGTTCAACGTAGATTCGTTGATGGTGGTTGAGATTTTTAACACAAGCGAATTGTTTACATGCGTTGAGCAACCTGGAGTAAAAGCCAAAAGGAAAGCGGCATTTCTGCTTCAGATGATTGGGTTTCTGGATCAAAAGTAATTGCTTTTTACAATTTGTTGAAAAATGCTTGAAATACCATTGGAAATCCGGAAAGATTTATCTTATTTTCCTAATCTAGATCTGATGTGAGCAGCTGAAACGAGAAAGTGGTGATTTGATAGGAGTGATTTTGCATAGTAAAATGTAAAACATGTTCAGAGAATAGAGATCCTTCGAAGAATTTTTCCATTGTCATGATGGTGAACAAAACGTAGAAACAAATATTGAAAGCAGTGTCAGGACTGTGCGACATCATAAACTAAAACGTCAAAAGACAATGTCGTTTTTTTGGGGTTTCTATAGGGTCATTGGTTATAATTTATAGTCACAGAAATAAGAAATGAACAATATAAGGGTATTACATTAAAAAAACATTTTGATTTATTTTCTGCGTGTAATTGTTATAATAATAATAACAATTTGATTAATTTTTGAAAATTTGTAATGAGTAAAAGTGATTCTTTCGCTATCGAAAACCGTGGCAAAACTGTGTACTTTCCACCAGGGGATCAAGAAAAACAATATTCCACTTCATAATATCCTTGTTCTAAAACGATTAAAAACATGGCTTATGTTGTTATGTATGTACCCAGAAACTGTTGTCAATCCTAATCCGGATCAAAGCGGTTTTAATTAGTCCGGATCATTGCGGCCGCACTGTCGCAGAAAAGTTACCCCACTTTACTGCACATTTTGCTTAAATGGTGCCTACTAAAGCACTGTGTTGATTGCAAACCGTCGTCCAAAAATACACTATTCTCATAAAATTTAATGTCGCGTCCAGGCATAATGCCACGCGAGCAGAAGGAGACCGCGACAGGGCGCTGGTGGCGCGTTATGTCTGGGCGCAGCATTAGATAGATATGAATATTAAACTCAACTTTTCAAGATAAAAATGTATTTAGAAAACGTACCTCGTTTTCGTACACTGCTACTCTAGCCAGAATTTCAGCAGAAGGAATTGCTCCGGTCTTCTGAAACTTCTCGAGTTCATGTTCCACTTCCTCCTCTTTAACTCTCATATCCAGTTCGGCCTTTGAAAGAGCCGTTGAAAGGTCACATACATCTTGATTCAACTTCTAATAAAAGCAATTCAAAAAACACTTCTAAGTAAAAAGTCTCAACTTTTGCTATAACATTTTGTACCAATACCTTACCTCAACTTGTTCTCTTTGCTTATTTAATTCGGTTTTTACACCGTCCATTTCATTGTTTTTCCTGCTGAGCTGGTTCATTAATTCTTTTACTTCAGTTTTCAGTCTAGCCCCCAGTACTTCCCAATCTTTCAGTTGCTTCACAACTAACTTGTTTGTCTCTTTTTGCTTGTCTACTTGTTCCGTTAAGTTGTCTCTTTGATCTATTTCAAATAAATATTTTACTCAGCGTGTGGAGGGTTTGTTTTTCTACATACCTTGAAGCTCACTCATACAATCCTCATTTTCAATTTGAATTATGCGTATCACTTTGAGTAACCTTGTAATAACATTATCAACCTCAATAACTTGGTCCACAAGTGAAATTGGAGGAAAAATTTCGCCTGCAAAAATCAGTGATTTACCTATACATCTGTATGAAATGCGCAAATCAACCAGTTCTCTTGTAGGGATTAAAACTTACTTAATGAAAATATGTCACTGGTAAATGATGTAGTTAAACTTGTTGGCTCTGAATGCTGTCTACTGAAATAAATATTCGAAACATCCTTGAGACTTTCGCTATGAGTAAGTCTTGAGCTAAGCATGCTGCCGTGTCCAGACGAGATCATATTATGGGAATGGCCTAAAATAAAAAATTATGATATTTTCAGTTTTGTAAGTTGTCCACTTAAAAACATTACTATTTATTTCTAGATCAAAATACATACCATCTGGAACCACAACATCCTCCAAAACGTGTTCCATCATAAGACAAGGTTCCGTTTCTGAATCGAGCATCTCATTTGAACTACTTCTATCGCACAAACTATTCTTCCTGCTAATATCTCGACCAGAAGCCGCATTCTTTATGGCATTTATTACAGCAGAAACAAATGAAGACCCTATATATAAATGATATTTTTTAGCTTCGCCAACTTCCATTCACATCTGTGCATTTGCAAACCTTTTCCTGATGGTGATGGCTTTTGATCAATAAACAATTTTGACTTCTCCGGTGTAGACTCTACACTACTGCTGGTATTATAAGCTTCATTGTGGTAAATAACATCCTAAAAAATAAAATTAGACATTTAAGCGAACATGAAATGCAAAGGAAAAATTAACAACAAAGTAAAAGTAAAAAATAAGTTAAATCGATATACATTAGGTAGGTGAATCTTGAATTCTGGATGTGGCACATGTGACCGAAAAGCAGAGAATGAGGTGACTTTTTGTTTTAATTCGCAGAAAATTAACTAATTGGGGAACCAGAACTTTGCAAAAAATTTGTGATGGAAATATAATTCTTTCTGTTTTTTTTTCATATGCCCTGTTCTTCGGTAAAAATTAATTTTGAGTTTTAATAAGTTTTAAGAATTTCAAACGTCTACAGATACGTAAAAATGCGTATAAAATATATTATTGTAGAGATCGCACTGATGTAAGCTAACATCAATCCAGTAAGTTTTCAAGTTAAAATTAAAAAATTATATGAGGATTCAATTCACATGTTCTTCCGAAACCCCAGGAAAAAATTATCTTCTACAACTGCCCAAAACTCCCCAGTTTCAAGAATTGGCTTATTTTCCATGTCCTCTCAGAACTTTGGTCACGAACACAGCCATCTGAACCCTCCTCGCCGCAATCCTGAAGAGTGTGCTTGAGGTTACGCCACACTAATCGCGTAAATTCTTCAGCCATGATGTTTTGCGTCTACCTGGACCACGCTGTCAGCAATTTTACCCTGCATGATGTTTTATAGTAGTCCGTATTTCGCCCTCCTCATTATATGACCAAAGCATTCTAATTTTCTCCGCTTGATGGTGCATAGAATTTCAGTGTTTTTATTTAGATCTTTAAGTATAAGTATAAGTATCTAAGTTTCAGACATTATCCATCCTTTTAGGATTCGCCTATAACACCACATCTCAAACGCCTCCCGGCGCCCCATCTCATTGCAATTCAGTTCAGGCCTCCGTTCCGTAAAACAAAATTTAAATGACATAACATCGCAACAAACGGATCCTCCAAGGCAGTCTAAGATCTCTACTGCAAAGAACTTGTCTCATTCTGTTGAACGCTGCGCGAGCGTACTCTATTCTTGACCGGATTACGGGGTTATTCTCTCCATCGTTATTTATCAGACATAGGAGGTACTTGATTGTGTAACCTGCTCCAGTCTCACAGCTACGACCGTCACAGTAGCCGTTGTATCATGTTGTTTGCTTATTACCAGAATCTTGGTTTTCTTGATAATAAGATCTAGTCCAACTACTGCTCATTCAGCAGTGACTCTATCGAGCAAACACTGTAAATGTACGGCATATTAATAAAATATAGACATCTAAAATTATTTGTGCTGAAGTCTCCTACAAGAAATGCTTACTTCGGCTTGCCAAACACCCTGAATAAAAATATACAGGGTCAAATTGTTTCAATGTAACTGGTGACCATGGACCATGAGTAAATTCTTAAACTCATTGCGTTACCATTGTCATGATAAACTCTGTCCTCATTAGCAATTTTTTCGAATTAAGCGGGGAATCTTTGCGATTTCGATAGAACTCAAAAAAAATGTAGGACAATTTCGTATAACTATCATATTTTTTTTCCTATAAACCGACATGTACGCCCCTAAAAAATTTTTCAAAATCGGCTTAAAAAATATATGTTTAGTGATTTGTTGCGATCGAGAATTATGATTCGAAAAACCACCGCAATGCATATTAGTAGAAGCAGCCCATGTTAAACACTAAATTAACTACTTTGAATAAAGATAGCATTTTATCATAAACTGTTAAGTTAACAGTTCCACCTCTTTAAGGACGATATTTTTGCGCGCTTCCGATTATAAAAATTGCCTTATTGTGCTAGAGCTAGAGCACACCTGGCAATTGAATAAGACAAAATTGTCTTGTTTCAGTCAGTCAGTTTTAATCAATTCAAATATTTTCGGTTAGTTAGGAATCAGAATAAATATAGGGAGTCTATATTTCAAATATCGTTTTATTTCTAACGCCTTTTTCATAAAAATGATATAAAATTAGAGCATTTAGATCTATTTGAGTTTTGTCATTCTCATTCTTATTGAGCCGTCTGCCTCCGAAGGTTGGCAACTCCGAACTGGCAAGGCATTGAGCCAGGAATTCTGCATTTTCCCCTGAATCTTTCCCTTGATGGTCAGCCGAAGTATTACTTATCGATCACCTCTCATTATATCTCCAATATACCTGAGTACTATACTCGCGCTCTTTGATTGTTGGCATCAGCTCCTGTTTTTCTGAATTCTATCGAGAACTTCGGTGTTTCTTACTCTCTCGATTAATATTCTCATATAAATATACATTTCGAAAGCTTCAATGCGGTTTTCTAGCGAGCGGTTGAGGGTCCAACTTTCGCAGCCGTATAGGAGGATGAAGAATACGTAACAGCGTAGCATTCGGATTCATTCTACGACCCAAGTCTAGGTCACACCTAATAAAGAAGTTCTTCATGTCGATGAACGTCCTCCTGGCCTGTTCGAGTCTTGATAGTACCACTTTCGTCGATTCGCTGTTCAAGTCTTGATAGTACCACTTTTGTCGATTCTCAACTATTACACACTGGTGCCCCCAGATATCTGATAGATGATAACTGCTCAACGATCTTGCTATGTATCGGAAAGCAGCTTGTGTTTGCATCTTCGAGAAAAACATAATTTTCGTTTTGGGGATGTTTATATGTAGTCCATAACGCTTGCTGCACTCAACCATAACATCTACAAGTTGCTGGCGTTCAGCTAGGCTGCTGGCAACAACGATTGCATCGTCGCCATATCTTATATTGCTCATTGCTTTCAAGAGATTCCGCAAAAATGTTTTTCGAGTAGAGATTAAATAGTAGCGGCGATAATATACATCCTTGTCGCACACCGTTTCTTATGGCTAGCTCCTCCGAGATTTTGTTCTCCACTCTTGCTTGAGCTGCCTGGTGCCAGTAGTTCTGTAATGAGTATCATATCACCCACATTAAGCGAGAATACGGCCTTGTGCGTTCCTAATCCGTTTCTGATGCCGAATTAAGTGTCGTCAACTTGCTGTTCGCACTTCTTGTATATGCGGGTATGTGTAACACTCAGGAAAGTTTTTAGTACATGCAGCTTATCGTACAGTAATCATCGCATTGGGACGCAATATGTTTTTTGGGTAGTGACAAAAATTGACCATAGCGATTCCGAGGGTAATTTTCCAGTTCTATAAATAGCGTTTAGCAGGTCTGTAAGGCTTAACACTTCTTACCGTATTCGTAGACTAAGCCGCCTAACAAACCGTGTACGTCATCGGGCCCTACAATTTTTCCATCCTTCTGTATTAGGATGGCGCGTTTTACTTCTTCTTTAGTGATGTTAGGACTCGTCTCGTTAATCTCACTTACTTTGAGGGATTGTTCGTTGGAGTCTCACTTACTTGGATAAAACCTTACAGTACTTACATACACTTACAGGATAAACTAGTTTGTAACATAATCTTTCGAATTCACACGACTTTCATTCGGGTAAATATTCTTTGTGCCAAAAATCAACTTTTTATTTATTGGTTTTAAGCGCAATTCACAGTTTTCGACCTGAGTTAAGTTAAAGGGTTACTTTAACTAATTTATCATCAGAAATATAACGACAGTTAAAAATCAATACTGCTCCAAATCGACAATGCATTTCGGATATTCTTAAGCTAGTTAAATTTACAAATTAATTTAAATGTTATCTATTTAACAAAACGAAAATGTATTTTTTGCTCTGAAAAGCTCAATTTTCCTAGCAGTAAAACGTTTTATAGGAACTTATCATATAGATTTTCTCGGTTCTATCTAAACCCGAGATATTGCCAACTTGTTCTTTGAAACCTGGTATATTCATACAGATAGGCGAGAGTGCTAAATACGTTCACCAGTGCCTTTTAACTGCTCATTTGTTTATTTCGATCACCCACGATTTAAAGGTATCGGCTCGACTACAAGCTGATTTAGATTCGGCGATACTACAGATATGCAATTACTTACATCTAGTTCTTGTTCAGAGATACTGTAAGCAGTTATGAGTTCTTCGGCCAGGACGTTGAGCCGTTCAATTAAAGATGCCAAGGCAACAGATGCCCCCGATACCGAGCTACCTTGATGCACAAGGAGTTCTCGACTCTTCACCTCTAGATTTCCAATTCGCGCTTGCAAATTTAAATTTTCCAGGCGTCGTTGCTCACATAACCGAGAGAGCTGCTTGCATTCTTCATTGCGTTCATTCAAATCCTTATCCTTTTGAGCAATAATTTTCTAGAAATGAACATAAATTGTTGAACATTTGATTTCTCGTCGTGACTCGTAATTACCTACTTGAAATTTTTTAATTTCGTTCTCAGATTCCTTTAGAGAATCAGCCAATGTGGTTTTCTCGGCTTGCATAAAATCTTGAAGTTCCAGGCTTTCAGCCAAAGCATCTTGATTTTGTTGAAGTAAAGCTTTTTGTGCAGCAAGGCTTTTGTCTAAAATAGTTAAAAAAAAGTTAGGTGGAATAACAGGTTAACAGTTAGGAGTTGAAAAAGTGATTATTTATTAGGTACTGGTTGCTTGAGGAGTGACGAAGTGACGATACCCAGTCGCAAGCGATTTAATGTCGTTGACAAGTTTTATTATTTTAAGTACTCGTATCACATTCGGAGTACATTGATTACTTGGAGTAATTTGACTTTTTTTATTTTTGACTAGTTATAAATAAAATTTAATTTGTATAAATTAGAATGCATAAATTATTCAGTGATATACGAGGGTCGTTTTATAAGTCAGTGATTTTTTGAATTTCCCGCGAAGTATCTGTAAATTCAATACTACCCCCCTCCAATGTCGTCTGTTAGTAGACTGTTGTGAAATTTTGAACACGTTTCGTCATTTAAATGATGTTTAACAGTCATTGAAAGGAGATGACTTTGTCAATACCGACGAAAATGGAAAAAGTGAATTTCGAGTGCTGATCAAGCATTATTTTTTACGTAAAAAAAAACATAAAAGAATCTAAGTAAAAGCTTGAGAAATACTGTGGGCACTCTGCACCATCAATTTAAATGGTCAAGGAGTGGTTTACTGAGTTTCGTTGTAGTCGTACCAGCACAAATGACGCATAACGTTTAGGTCGTCCAAAAGAGATTGTTAGGACAAAAATGGTCGATACAATCCACGGAACGATACTGGACGATCGGAGAATACAAGTGCGTGAGATGGACGAGGCTGTAGGCATCTCAACTGAGCGGGTACATCACATTTTACATGAATATTTGGATATGGAAAAGCTACCCGCACGCTGGGTGACGCGATTGCTGACATTCGACCATAAGCGCTCCCGTGTGACTATTTCAAATGAATGCTTAGCGATGTTCCGGCGCAATCCAAACGAATTTTTACGACGTTTCGTAATCGTTGACAAAACGTGAATCCATCACAACACACCAGAGACCAAAGAACAATCAGAACTGTGGGTTTCACAAACCTCACTGGAAAAAAAGGTCTCTTCTTTGTTTCCTTTTATTTGGTGTTTCCCTACTGATTTTTTCTTGTTTGGCAGTTACACGACAGTATTGCCTTTGAGCATTTTCTAATGATTTTATTACTTTTGTGTTTATACCATCTCCTTTTGTTATTTCCCTTAAAACTTCCTCAATCTGGTCTCTGTATTTATCTATTTCTTCTATTTCTTTCCACTTTGTTATATTTTTCTTTTTAAACATTTTGTTTCGTTCTTTCGCATTACACAAAAATGGAGATAATACTTTAAGAAAGAAAGGCAGGGTTCCGGACAGGAGTTGGGACGAACGACCACCTTCAAGTCCTGAAAACGTCAATAGAGACGAATAAATATAATACGTCAATAGATATAATATAATAGACTATTAGTTCTGGTTTTAGAAGACTTCCAAAAGGCGTTTCACACAGTGGAAATGAATGCCATCCTCTAGGCTCTCAAAGAATACAGAATAGATCACAAGTACACCCAAGTTGTATAAGGTATATATAAACATGCAACAACGACTGTCAGACTGCATAAAATAGATATAAAACGAGAGGTACGGTCAAGGAGACACTTTATCACCAAAACTAATCACATCGGTTTTAGAATACGTTTTAAAAAACTAAATTGGGATAACAAAGGTATTACAATAGATGGAGAAGAACTAATAATCTCCGATTCGCGGATGATCTAAGCGAAGCAAGAGATGGAGAGAGATGCTGAAACAACTCCAGAACGAATTGGAAGCAGTCGGTCTGAATATAAACTATACCAAAACTAAGGCAATGACAAACCTAGTATCAACAGGAAATAGATGCATAGAGGGAGCGCAAGTAGAAAAGTATACCTATCTCGGACACGAACTAAAAATCAGCAGGGACAACCAAACTTGTGAACTTTTGAGGTGCATAAATATCGGATGGGCCTTGGGAATGACCCTTTTGGACATTGGCTGTTAATATGGTGAGTCGAATTTTATTAGCAGCTTGTCTAAGAAATTGGATCGATAAAAGACCAAACCACTTCTTTAGATTTTGCATTCAAGAGTTTCTTCTTCTACCTGGACCTCTTCCACTGTCCACCTTGCCATGAAGGATAAGTTGCTGAAGGCGATATTTGTTGTGTCTCATCAGATCGCCAAAGTATTCCAGTTTCCTTTTCTTTATCATGAATATGATTTCTTGTTGTTTGCCGATTTTTCTTCTTCGTTCCGAGTACTTCTTCGCTTGTAACGTGATCCTTCCACGATATTCGGAGAACACGCCGTTAAACCCACATTTCAAAGGGCGAGATCTTTTTTTGAAGTTGTTCTGTCATGGTCCATTAGTCTTTATTATAGCAAAACTGTGAATATATAGCATTTTATCAATCAGATTTTTAGTGGTAGTAAGATGTTTATTCCGGTAAATTTGTTTTTCATTCTTACCAAAGGTGTTATTGCCGTCTCAATCCTGGATTTGATTTCTATGGTCATGTCCCATTGACGGTGAACAATTGTCTCTAAATATGTATACTTTACGTGTTCTATGGGTGTTTGGTTTAGTGTAAGTCTTCCTATTGGTATTAGTTGTTTTTGAGATATTTAGTTTTAGCCGGAATCCCTCGGATATATTGTTCACTTTCCGTAATAGACTCTGAAGATCTTCAAGACTATTAGCTATGATGGCAGTGTCGTCCGCGTATCTAATGTTATTGATGAGTTCTCCATTAATCTTTATTCCCTCTGTGGTATCATGAAGCACCTCGTCAACAGCAAATTGAGACACATATTTAAGGACAAAATTCCCATAAGTCTAAAAAGTGTATCCTACTGGTTCTCTTATAAGGGGCAGAAACCCTAACACTCACTATGGCTGCAGCAAAGAAATTGAGTGTCACACAAAGAAAGATAGAAAGATCTATGCTGGAGATATCAGAGGCAGAGTAAAAAATGAGAAGATTCGTAGAACAAAGGTGGAAGACATAATTTAAAAGATCTCCAAGTCCAAATGGAGGTGGTGCGGTCATGTAGCACTACAAATAGATCAGATATGGACGCGAAAACTTCTGGAATGGAGGCTATGGTCAGGCGAACGAAATCCCGGAAGACTACCCACCAGGTAGACAGATGATTTAAAACATGTCAACATCAACTGGATTCCAACGGCAGAGGAACAAGAAACTTGGAAGACACTTGAGGAGGCCTATGTCCGACAGCGGACGCAAAGGGCTCGAGAATGATGAATGATTTTCAAAAGAAATTCGCTGTTCTATAGAAAATCCAAATTATCAAATCGTTATAAAATGCATGAAGAAATTTGGTCTTTCCAAAACATTAATTTTGATGACAAATCCTAAATAAACTGTTTTGTAGCACTTATTCAATAAGTTGACTTTTATTTTTACGGTGAACTACTATAGAAAAAAAACATATCTAGCAGCCGATCCAAAACTCCCTGCAAACCCACGTAGATATCTTAAATTGGTCTTTCATTTGAATTGTTGATATTTGGAGGAATAAAGCATATTTTGTTTGCAGAAAGTCATATTTTGCAGATTTCTCTATTACCAGCAGCACTTCGTGCGGTTCTAACAACTCTTCGTCCAAATAAAATAGTAAAGTATTTTGAAATTTTTTTTGCGCTTCGTACATTTGTTTTTGATTTCGCATTTTCTAACTTTTTCTTCGTACTGACAGAATACCAATTACAAAGATCATTTACTTCTCTATGATGCATACCGATCAAACACACAAAGTATTATGTATTATCCTTAAAAACTACACTAGATTGTTTGATTGTACTCACTTAAATCTATTTGGAAGGAACGGCAATAATTATTCAGTCTGGTAATCTCTTCTTCCTGTTGAATTATTACTTGACTTACATTCTGGAAACGGTTTTCCAAAACTAGTAAACTATCACTCGATGCAGACGGTTCTGAAAAATAATTGACACATTGAAAATCTCCAAAACTAATTTCCTAATTAACGGTTAATTTCCTCTTAAATGTTTGAGTCAACAAATATTTACAATAAGAGAAAAAAAGCGAACCTGGACTTTCACTCTCTCCAGCTTGACCCAATATAGCCAGGACTCTTTGAGAATTATTATTTAACTCTTCCCTTAAACCCTCTTTTTGCAGCGTTTCCTCTTTTAACTTATCTTCAGTCTCTTTAAGTTTTACAGTCTGGTCCTTGTGCTCTTTTATCAGTAGCTCGTATTTATCAGTAAGACATTTCAGATCCTCTTTTAATTTATCCATTTCTTTGATGCCTATATCCACTTGAACGTCTTTCGAACACTTTTCTCGTTCTTCTGGACTTTTAGTTGATACCAAAGATCCCGCCAAAGCTTGCTGAATATCGGACATGGTCAAGGCCGTTTGAATATTCATTTCGTGGTAGATTTTCGTTTTGACTTTTGGCTTTAAAACATACGGCGAGCTAAACATTTTGGGGGTAGTCTCCTTTGAGCCTTTTTTACCCAGTGACTGGTGCGTTGCCTTTTTTTCTTCTTTTGCACCTTCTGAGATTTTGTCTTTTTCCTTCTTTCGTCTCGGTAAAGTAGCGTATTTCTCAATAGTTTTGCTTTCTACGTGTGATAATCTGGACTGTTGGTCCAAATTTCCTCTCAGAGATCTCACCATTGACGTAGGCGGTTTGTTTGAGGTCCATCTACTGTCCTCTACCGGAGTGGCTTGAGTTGAAGATCTTGCGGTACTTGCTTGAGTGGAGCGAGCTGATGGTTTTCTAGTGACGGTTTTAGCAAGGTCCAGGTGGTTTGGTACTGGCTTATTTCTACTAGAAGAACTTGTTCTTGGCGGGACTGCTTGCCTAGTTTGCAATCTGTAACAAAAAAAGGAAGCTACGTTAGTCCAGAATCTAGAACTGACAGATGTGTTAAAACCTCTCAATGGATTTCAGTCTTGTAGCGGAATTTATGGCATTTCGGGCTGGCGTAATAGGGGGTTTACATCGTGACCGTTCTTTAACTACACTTGAAACATCTTTCTTCCGGTCAGATGTAGCGGTTGCTTTTTTCTTCACAACTATCGAATTGTTGCGTCTGGAGCGACTTTGTGAACCACTCAAGGACGAACTCTCACTGCCGTTCTCGCTGGTAACGTCACCATTTCTTAAAGTGTAGTCTTCTAACAGTGTTGAATTTTTCCTAACTAAAATATTGTACGCCTCTTCGTAATTTGAACAGTAACTTATTGAAGAATCACGCGATCTGGCACAAGCATTATCACAGTCCTGAGAAACACCACTATTCGAACTTAAAGCTCTGTGGTATTCCGCAGTATCAATTACTTCCACTCCACTATCGCTTCCTTCACAGATATGCTTTTTATTGTCTGCAGTCGAATCAACGGCATCTCGACTTTCAGTCTGCACTTCGATCACTGTTATGTTCGTTGTAGCATTTAAGAAACCGTGTCTGGAATCTGAATCAACATCGTCTGCTCGTACAGGCTGCTCTCCAAACTCCGAATATTCTATTTGGTTAGTCGAATTATCGGCTACATCATTTGAAGGTTCAGCAGACGCAGTAAACGATAGTGATGAGGACGTTGCTGACTCCATGATACTGTTGATATTCCAATTATTCACTCTGAAACAAACAAAACAGTATTGTAAAAAAACTGTCTATAAAACCCAACAATATACATTGTAAAACCCTGTATAGATTGGTGTTAAACATGCCCAAAACATAGGGGAAAGTGTCGCCCCTCTAACAAAAAGGCAAAACGTACAAACACTCGATCTTTTGCAGTAGGGCTAAAACTGCCAACTATACAGTTGAGTCCGGATATAACGAACTTGAAAAATGAACTAAAGCTGGTTCGTTATATCCGGAGTTCGCTATAAGCGAATAGTAATACAAAAACACGTGGTGTATTTTATTTTGTTATTTTTACATAGAGTAGTAGAAGTTAGCAGGTATGACTAAAAAGAACACAAAAAGATAAACAAAATTCAATTTGAAATCTGCTTTATAAAGTGTGTAATTTTTGTTTGTACATTTATGCTGCAAAAATAGTGAAATGTTATTTATGTAGTTTTCAAGATCACAAAAGAACTCCCAGATATGATAAGGAACTTGGCGTGATTGTAGAAAATTCCGAGTTTCTGACACTCTTTTTGTCATTTCAGAAATCGTTGGAACAGCATTAGTGTCTACAGTAGAATATGTTTCACCTAAATCGTCATCTTTTTCATTATCGCTTAAAGCTGTAGATGAGGTTACGGAGTCTATAATTTGCTCATAGGTCAACATTTCTCTTGTAAGAATGCCATTATCAATGCTCACATATTCGAAGACATTGAAATCACTCAATTTGGTTTTAACTTGTTCTTCGACAACATTGGGACATCTTCGTCTGTGTCATACTCGTTGTCAGAGTCCTTATAGTTTTCTAACCATTCGTTAAGTGGAATTTCATCGTCTGGCTCATAATCATTTTCTTTTCTTACAAATCCCCCATGCTTAAAGCAATTTGCAATGGTTTTTCGGCTAACTTTTCGCCAAGCTCTATGAATGAAATTGACTGCATCTAAGAGATTTACAGAAAATATTTCATTTTTATCGATCACCTCTAACGTTTTCATAAGAAGAATTGTTCACCGGCAGACTCTCCGATAATTTTTCCGCTGCTGATATTATGCCTCTTCTTGAAACGCTCTTCCCAACTTTTAGAACAAGCAAACACTTTTTTGATTTTACTCCCCATTTCACTAGCATTTTGTTGCAAAACACTGCCACTTATGGGAACGTTTTCTTGTCTTTTTTGAGTAAACCATTTAATAAGTCTCTTGTCAACCTTTTCATGTGCAGATAATTTTAACTTCCTACATCTAACATTTGTTTTGTCATACACTGATAAAATGTTTTCTCTGTTTTTCCATATTGTTGCAACAGTAGACTTTCCAAGTGCTAATTCCTTACAAATGTCACTCTGCATTATTTTCACTTTTTATTTTGTTAATGATCTCGTACTTTTCATTTAGTGAAAAAGCTTTGCGTTTTTGTTTTTCCATTCTAAAACGATTTACATACATAATTCGGCAAAAACCAACAAGTCACTGCCTGTCTCTCGCTCTCACTAATATAAACAACTCCGCACGCTGAGCGTGGAAGTTCGGTTTAAACGGAAAGTGAATATACAACTAACCTAAAAAGTGATCGTTATATCCGGAAGTTCGTTATAACCAGTAAAAAAATACGTTGGTCTTTATGGGCGACGTTTCAATTAAAGGAAAAAAGTTCGTTTCAACCGAAAGTTCATCTTTGTTTTTAAACCTTTCCCATCGACAATTTCATATTCCAGTATATTTGTTTGTACAGCCCGTAGATCAGAAAAATGCTAGACGGAAAATTGAATTGCTAGAGTGTATACTTCTTTGGTAAACTACTTATATCGTCGAGGCAAAACATGCTCCTAATTAAATATTTGTAAATCAAATTTTCTATGACTATGACTACAGAAAGTTTTGTGAATTTTGAATAGGGAATGTTCCATAATTGAAAGAGAATATTCGAGTGTTGCCAAACGGTTATATGAAGCAAGCGCGACGCACCCTAGTTAGTTAGTGAACGAGCTGCCAATCCATGTTAAATAGTAGTGCGATTATTGTTGGTTATAAGTAGGGCTGTGTTTATTAAATTGCGTTTACGAACAGAGCACGTTACTGCAGTCTTTCTAACCTCTAAAACGTAATAATATTTATTCAAGGATAAACACGACTTGAAGTAAATAAATTTGGGTCGAACCGTCTTTACCCCTTATCAGATATTTATGATCAGACTGATCACTCAGGGTATGTCCGGTTCCGAAACCTGTTGAAAACGCTTATCTCACAAAAGCGTCCGTGCAAGAAAATATTACAAAGACAGCATCTGTAATGCCGGTATTACACTACGCACTTACACCACGCAGAATCAATTTTTATTTTTCGTATTCTTCATATGGTTAAAAAGTTCATATGGATATTTATGCTAATATGTGAATTGCCCATATTCATGTTAAATATTGATTTATCATTCAAATTCTTAAATCAATGCCTTTAAAAATTAACAACCGAAACACATCTCAAGTGTAACACTCTCAGCCAATTCATTTTTTCAGTCCGCTATCCATATAAACAATAATTTTTGATCAGCCAAACTAAAATATATGCAGCAACCGGAAACAACGTTCTAACAGTACATTCAGTTTATCTTCGTGCATCACTGAATACAACCATTTATTTTGCAAAATTTAAGTGGGTGACAGACATGTTTTTTTAGATTTTACAGATCACTTTTACATCCGTTAGTTACTTTTAAGATATTACTATCTTTCCAATCCTTTGTACGTTTTATAATATCGAATAACAACCAGCATTGAAATGTATAAATCAATTTATTGACTGCTGTTAAAAGGGAAAAGCGGAATAGTTCGTGCCTTGATATTCATTCAGACACGCAGCTTAGGAGAGATTTTCAGCATGAAAACCACATTACTAATGATACCAAAAGAACCAAAATCTATAGCCTGACGTCAAAGATTCGAATTTAGTTTTCTTTCATTACCGACAGAAAAACTTAAAAGACATAGAAGGTCACAAAAATTCATTTCAAACACGAAATTTTGAGTGACACTGTTACATAAAGTAAGACTCAATGTTAAGCACGAGAAAAACTTAAGGAATTAATATTTGGCTAACCGAAATGAAGTAGCACAGAGACTTATTAAGACTTAATAATCAGCTCCAAGTTTATAAGTAAATTGGAAATTTATGGATCAAGCCTGATAAAATTAACGATCTTTTTGAATGGCATCAGCAATATTTTAGTACTGAAAGATCATCTTTAAGATTTTTTTAAATTTAGGTTTTTTTTCGTCAACGTCTAAAACCGTTTTTATTCATATTCAACTATGTCCTAAAACTACTAAACTTTTGTTGACAATGTTTACTTACCTATTTATATAAAATATATATATTAAACAGAACTTCCATTTCTTTGTTCAATTTACTCGGAACTTGCTCGTGGTTTGCGACTCTATCCATCGTGAATATCCTCGGCAAACGCCTATAAGCTCACATATCAAATGTCTCCAATCTCCTGAGAGATTCAGTGATAATTTTAAAAGCTAGCTATCGGTGTTCGTCGAAAAAAGTAATGTTTAATAACTTTAGCGACGGAAGTCGAAGGGAATAACACCTAGCGAACGAGATGGTCCAAACCTCAAGATCTTGTTCCAGATAAATTCCTACTCTAAATCCTAATAGATTGAGATACGCTCAATAGTAGGTAAGTGGTTCCATTTGTAACAAAAATATGAACAAATCTAAATTCGGGTTAAAAAAATTAAAGCAACTTCAAAAATGATTAGCCATGATTGCCCACAGCGAATCCACTGCTCTGCAACAAAATCCTCCTTCAAAAATGTATGTCATAAATATAAAGATTTTGATGCGCCGAATCTGTTCCCTAAGGCCAATTTTTTTATCACGTCCAGATTTTTTGATATTATTTTTTTTCCAAAATATCATAAACTTAGCTTTTTTTAATTCGTTTTATGCGTTAACATTATAAACAATGTATATGCATACGAAACAGGTTTTTGCTAGTCGTAAGAGAAGTCGTAGTAGTAGAAGATTGTATATTCTTAACATCGCATCTGCAAAGAGACCACTTAACCAAAAATAGCGCGAAGACGGAAAACAAAAATACTTCTAAACTACATCCTCAATCGAGTTTCAATTCTACCTATACATCTTCACCATCATACGCTTTAATAAAAAAAAACACAGGCCGACAAAATCTAAGGCTCAGTTACTCGGATCAAGATTGAAACAGTGGAATTTGTTTCGCACAAGACGAGAATATTTTACGAGTTACTTTTCCAAAGAAAATAATTTAGCATTTTGTAAAGATGCTGCAGGGCTTCTTGAAGAACGGAGTTTTCAAGAAAATTCTGATGAATTAAGACTGTTTATTGATGCGTCGAAGATTAGTTTGAAAGCCGTTTTACTTCACAACGCAAATAAATACCCATCAGTGCCTCTTGCAGATGCAACAGACATGAAGGAAAGTTATGCAAATCTGGAGGTATTACTTGAAAAAATAAAATATTCTCAATTCCTATGGAATATTTGTGTTGACTGAAAAGTTGTCGCTATACTTGCTGAATTGCAAGGAGGATACACCAAGTTTTGCTGTTTTTTTATGAGAGTGGGAGAGTCAAACATTACAAAGTGAAAACTTGGCCACAAAGAAAAGTCTGACACCTGGACTTAAAAAAGAATCTGAACTTCAGTTCCAAGTGATAACATTTTTCTGCCACCACTTCATGTAAGGTTGGGAACAACATTTCCTCGAATCAGTGACGCGAAACTGAAAGAAGGGATTTTTGTAGATTCGCCAATACGAGAGCTTATGACGAATGAAGTTTTGCATTCGAAGTTGAACAAAGCTGAAAAAAGCTTGGGTGGCTTTCGTAAAAGTGTGTCATAATTTTCTTGGTAATACAAAAGCTGACAACTACCGACAAATCATTCGAGAGCTTCGTTCTGCTTATAAAGCTTTAGGATGCAACTCAAAATTAATTTTTTGGACTGGCATTTAGATTTCTTTCCGGAAAATCTCGGAGCCGTATCACATGAGCATGGTGAAAGGTTTCATATATTATGTATCTTAAAAGACGCTACAATGGAAAATGGTCAGGAGCATTGCTTCCTGATTTTTGTTGGTCGATTCACTAAGAAACTTTTTACTAGGAAACGATAAAAAAAACTACAAAATAACTTATACTATATATATAACTACCATAATGAGATAACTATACTGATATTTCTAGCACTTGTGACTGTAAAAATAGCATTTTTGGCTGTAAAACTTAGACCGTAGCCCTTTTCCACTTTTTCGTAATTGTGTTACTATGATAAAATCGAATTTAGATTAAATGGACATTATCATTAAAACGTGCTACATTTATTTGCATGTTAAATTCCGTGTTTAGAGCACCAAATATGATGTTATCATGCATGAAAACAATGAGGAAGAAACATTTTTTTTGCAGACCAGTGGCAGTATCTACATCGAAAACGTTCGAATAAATAGCTTTGCATAAACACGCAAATCACTTGTTAGTTTAATTTTTTTGCAAAAAACACTTTTTATTCGCATTAACACAACCGTATTGGAGAAAATAGTCTACTTCTACCAAACGAGAAAACAATCCGAATTCGTCTCCTGCATTGAAACAAATTATCACCTAAAACTGATCAAACTGCTTACAAAGAAGAGGGTCGAATATAATTGACCACTGAAATAGCAGGACAGACAGGCAGTATAGAGCTAGAAAGTGTAATAAAAGCTCTGAATCAAAGCCTAATCGATAGACGATATACCAAACTCATCCACAACAACTTTAAAAGCGCAACGATAATGGTACAACTAGGTACTTCATAATACTAGCAAGCCCATACACATAAAATCCAGGGTAAGACAGGAACAAACATCACGCAAATTATTAAAACACCACTGCAATGGGAAAAACTGAGTACATGACAGACCTCATCCCGAGTGAACAAATAAAGATATCAGATAAAAGTGTAAGACTTGCAAACAAATAAATACACAGGACATGAAATAAGAACAGATCGAGGCAACCAGATCTGCGAAACGCAGAGAAAAATAACTAGCATGAGCAGCATACGGCGCAATAAAAGCAACATTTCAATAAGAATGAAACGAACAGTTTTCGATCAATGTATACTTCCTGTGATTACATGGGATGGAACCAACAATGCTTACGGATATTACCCCGATAGATTTTTTTCCTTTGGGGAACACAACAAAAAGCGATAGCACGCGATCTCGGACACAAGAAGTGTTTTGTGATCGCATCTCGCATATCAGAACAGCATGTTTATTATTAGCATATTTTGACAACAGCTAAGTAATGAATTGGGAAATAATAGTAGATGTATTGAAAAACGTATAAGGGTATTTGGTGGATTAATTGAAAATAGCAAATATTAAGTTTAAAATTCTGTTCCAGTTTCATATTAGCAGTAATTAAATTTTGTACTTTTAGTAATGTCAGTCGGTAGGTAAAGACACTTTTTGCCTTGAGCTATGTTTAATAAAATATATTTTATTGAGGATATTTCAAGCATCTTCATCTTATTCATCTTTTTAATACAAAATTGTACATGGTACTTTTTGAAATTTGCAAAATGAAAGTTGACATAGATCGCCATGACTCCAGGTGAAAACTGAGGGTACTAACTAGCCGAATACGTATTTTAAAAAATTGTGAAAATCGATCAACAAATACATATGTTACGGGTGTTAAATTCTTGACCCGGACACATTGTATATTACACATGTGCTCAAGCTGAAAAACTATTAAAATTGTGAAACTCATACTCAATATAGAAGCAGTGCTATTGTTATAATTAATAATGTTTTATTACAGTTTTTACCGAGATAGGGTGATACACCTTCTTCCACAACATAAAAGCGCATATAACGTATGGAATACATATGCATGCGAAATGTCCAAAACAGGAAAGAAATAGCAATGAAAACCAGGCAAACAGAGCGTGCAATCTAGTCCTGAACACCAAAAATAGAACTAAAATGGTATTTTTCGAATGGTCGGATGTCTGATACGTCTAGTTGGTTTTTATTATTAGTAAATTGCCATAACATTGGTTAAATTGTTTCCTGCCAATAAAGTGAAAATATGATCGTTGCTTTGCTTCAATAACCTAAATTATTGGCTGTTAATGATAAATAATTGTACATAATACCGCTGCTCTTTGACTAAGATATCTGTGTAGCTAAATACAGTAGAAAAATCTCATTTTTACCTTACAGAAACGATCCAGGCTAAGGTTGCAATTTATTTATCGGCAAACCTATAAAAATAAAAAACGCATAATGCGCCATTTCAACATGACAAATGTTTCTTTAACCGCCTTATGTTACAAGATCAAGATCAACCATGAAGATCAATGTAACAAAACCTTCACCTATTGAAAATAACGACAGTTTAGTCGAGGTTTTCCTGAAGTGTTTTTATTTCTTGCGGTAGTTGGCAATATAAAAGTCCTATTTGGGCCTAATAAGTAAGTAAACCTTTAAATATAAATTTTCTATTTATGCTCGACTAATAAGAAAACATCGAATACAACAGGTGCATACTGACTACACATTTAATTTACTTAGCTTACTCAAATAATATGTTATAAGATGACGTTGCTACCTTGAACCAAGGATTTTAGTAATCAGCTATCTTAATCACATGCTTTGGGGTTCAATGGCTGGATCTTCCACCGGAGCAACAACAGCATAGAATCAAAATGGTGATTCCCACAGTAGCTGAAAAGTTACGATATACAGAACCCGTCTATGAAAAAGTGATATTATTTGGATACCCGCCAAGACAGTACTAAGTGGAAACTCCTCATTGATTTTAATTTTCACTTTTTGTTCTTTTTCGTCAACAAACGATGTCTTTTCCGGTATCGGTTTCATTATTTTCGACATGTGCGTCAAAAACTACTGCAGGTAGGTGCTTTCAACTTCTGAAAAACACTCGTACATAGTGATTCAAAATTTGAACTGTGAAGAAGTGATTCTGATGGAATTTCTAGCGGTATTCACAACGAACGGAGAAAAATAGCTCTCGCTAAGAACTGAAAGAATTGGACCAAAAACGAAAAGATAAATTTGGCAATAATGTTTTTGGTTCGCAAATATACGAGTACATACGCCGAAACTCGAAAGCAAATAAAAAGCTATAGTTTTACTGACGGAACTTCGTTCCAATGTTTCCAATCTTAACATTTTTAATGTTTATAAAAATACCCGCTTTTTAGAAAATATATGCATTTATTATTTTAAATCTACTGTAAAAATATTTTGTATTTATTTTTTTATTTATTTTTAGTATTTACCCACAAACTAAAAGATGAGTAAAAAGGGAGAATGCAAATTTATCGAAGAGCTAAGCAGCGAATTTCCATTAAAAAAGTGCGTGTGCAAGGACGAAAACCGAAGCAATTATTTGTAATCCTTTTTCACCATATTCGTTTTTGCAATTAGAATCGCAAAAGAATTAGGAAAATGCGCATTTATATCCATATATTCTCGTGCTTCCAACCACAAAGATTTAAAATTAGTTGCCACAATTCTTAGGATAGGTACAGAAACAGAAATTAATTATAGAATATTAGATTTTGTTTCTTTGCAGGGTGAAACGTTTCAAATAACTTTTGGTACAATAGGTACTATTTTAAGAAAGAACAATTTGAACAACAAAATTATTGCCTATTACACGAACGCAAATTTTGGTGGAAAAGCTAGAAGTGCCATCAATAACGTTTATACGAAACTTAACGGATTTTGAACCATAAAATTATTGGAGTAGGTTGTGCAGCGCACATTCTACATAATACTATTCAAATATCATCTGACTTACTTCCAGTTGATGTTGAAAATATTATTACAAACATTTATTCGTAATATTGTATATTTTTATGCATATACTGTGTGTTGAAAATTTGAAGAATTTTTGTGAAAGCGCAGAAATCGAATATAAAATAATTTTTGATTACAACAAAACACTATCTCTTTTACCAGCTGCAGAAAATAATTTAAGAATATGCGAACCATTAAAATCATACTTTTTATCGGAAGATAAATGCCATTCAGTTCATCCATACCCAAGCTACATAATATCACAATGCTGTGAAAATTATTAAGGTGGCAAAATTTCAATTACAAAAGTGTCAAATAAAATCAATAATTTAAAAACAAAATTACGAGAAAGATTTGATAATGATTACATTCCTTTAATGATTCGAAACATTCGTTACAGATGAAAAAATTTAATGTTTGTTGTCTGAAAATATGACAACACATAAAAAATTAGCGGATTTTTTTCTTCATTTTAAACAGAATAATATTCCTTATCAAAATAATTTGAAAATTGTAGAATTCGCGCTCTCCCTTCCAGGAACTAATGCAGCAACAGAACGTGTTTTTTCTAGTATCAGTAAAATATGGACAACTGAAAAAAACACAGTTGAACATTAAAACTTAAAAATCTATATTAAGTGTAAAATATAATTTGACCAATTCATGCGCAATATTTCACAACATTTTAATAAATGATCCGAATCTATTGCAAAGTATTCACTAGGATCAAAAATATGACCGTGAAAGAAAATCATAATTTTTGTTAAATAGAAAATTTAATTTGATTAAAAATCATGATGTTCAAATTATAATTTTTTGAAAATATTTTTTTAGATAACAATAATTAATAATAAATACATTTTTGTAGAAGTGTATGAATGAATACAATAAAATATACATATCTAACTAAATTCTAATTCTCATTTAATCCCATTTGTCCGGCTTGGTCTCAATGAAAATGTGGTGAGTTTACCGTAGACTTACGTTGTAAAAGCCTTGCTCAGATGTGAATATTGTGAAAATTATACAGTGTGTTATCGCTCCATATACTTGAGATAAACATCATTTTTATTGTTATGTTGTTCAACGCTGTAAATAGTCAATCGGTTCTCTGATTATTTCATCCAACTGAATGAGAGTTTGCTGAGGGAAAATCAATAGAGGAACATACTTGTCGCTGCTTTAGTATACAAGGTGGTTTTTTAGTGCAATAGAGTCCATTATTTCCGTTTGGTGTTGAACTTTCGAAAAATAGTTTCATATAAAAGTTGTTGACGCACAAAGTGCGCACATTTTAAAAATATCTTATATGATACAGAGTGTCTCAGAAATGCGAGGCAAGATCAAAGTGTATTTTTTCAAATAGAACTACCCATTTTTCATTAGCTCATAGAATGCAGCTTGAAACGATGCATATGCACCGTAAATTGCTTTTTCTTACTTGCGACGTTGACAGATTATCGCCATTTTAGTAAAATTTTGATAAAACTATGGCATCTAAAAATTAATTGTAAAAAAGCAAAAAAAAGCAGTTAAAGATACAAAAAATACGTCTTTCTAATCACCACAGATCCGGTAAGAATTCTATTGAACTAAAATATAAATGCATAGTACAGGGCGTTAACAATGTGGATTTCAATCTAGTGCCTCTGGAATGCACTGATTCGGTTATGTCCAATACTTGTTCCTCTGTGCCTGGAACCCGAACATCGATTGTCGTTCACTATCTTCCTGGAACCACTCTCCTCGCTCTTTGTTGGCGTGAGTTCTTTCAGCTTCTGCTATATTACTCTAGCATATCCCCTGAACTAATCGCATAGCCGCAAATTCGTGAAAGGAAATTCAAAGTAAGTCACAGGTTGACAAATTATTGTTATTATTGACAAGGGCTATCCACCTGTAACTATCTGTTAATGACAAAAAACATCATTGCTTGCTGTGCCTTTTCATCAAAAAATTGTAGAAGGGAACTTTTTTGATACCCAAAGTTTTGTAATTTGAAGCAAAGATGGTAATTTCTCTTTTTGAATACTTAAGTATTCCAATATGCTACTAATTAAACATGGAACAATTTCAAAATATTGCTTAATAACAAAGTTGAAATTCGATCTTCAGCTGTTAATATCTCGTAGAAATTTTCGAAAAAAAAAATTTCAATGTTTTCCTCGTACTCCCCCAGGGAGCCTCTATCACCCCTTAAAAGGAATGACGCCAATTTTGAATCACCCTGTATAAAGCATAGAAGTTTTTCTCTATTTAGAACGTCGCTTTCAAATGTTTCAGCTCACGTGCGGACATGGAAAGTGCAAAATTGGCCATTTTGTTCACCGCTTTTAATGTTTGCCTTACAATTAAACATTGAAATAAATAAATATTCATGCTGTTATTTCGCAAAATTTATTAGTATATGCTTCTTTAACTATTTCCTGTTACATTCCTTCAGTTACTGCCGTCAGATTTAGCGAAGAGAAAAATATTCATACAAAATAGTAAATAAATTTAAGAAGTCAAAGATGAAGTGTGAATTTAATTTATAAAATTTATGAAATTTAATTAATGAAAAGTTTTAAAATTCATTTTAAGACAAGCGTTAGAACACACAGATGAATGAAGAAAGAATGAAGAATATTTGTTATGCAGACGATACGGTCGTTTTTAAGCCGACAGCTTAGAGGGATTACCAAATGTCATGAATAGAATAACGAGTGCAGTCAACTATATGACCTGTACATTAATATTATAAAGACAAAACTAATTAATATAAGTAAATACAATATTAATAACTGTCATCTGATAATCAACTAAAAACCTAGAGAACGAGTGAGCAGTATTACTTTTATCGAAACTCTGGTGAACACGCAGTAGTTGATCATTCGCAGAAAATACGAAGCAGAATTGAAAAAGCCAAGACTGCATTCAGCAAGATGAGATATCTGTTCACAAGCCATCACATAACATTGCACACCAAGATAAGACTCTTGCGCCCTTACGTGTTCTCTGTCCTGTTTTACGGGGTAGAAGCATGGACGATTACTGAAGCCACAACGAAGAAATTGGAGACTTTCGAGTAATGGTTGTGTCGTAGAATATTGAAAATAGCATGGACAGGCCATATAACAAATATCGAGGTTCTCAACAGAATGCGCAAGGAAGTGGTTAATAATGTGAAGGAACGAAAGCTTCCAATGAAAACAGATTTCACTTACTGCAGACTATATTGCAAGGGAAAGTACTGGGAAAACGAAATGAGGCTAGAAGGCGAATCTCATGGTTAAAAAACCTTAGAACTTGGTTTGGTATGAGTACAACTGAGTTATTCCGAGCTGCAGTGAGTAAAGTTAGGATGTATGTATGATAGTGAACATCCGAAACGGATAGAAACTATAACAAGAAGAATCCATGCCGACGACTAGAACGAGTATCCAGCTTCTGCTATCTAAATACAATGTTCCCTCTATATGGCAAATTCAAGAGTGTAAGACATCAGGTGCACAAAGTCGCCAGAACAGCGGATCCCGTATGAAACATTCGGAAAAAATGAACCAAATATGTTTGGCAACAACCTATGTTGCAGATACACGATCTGACATGACTAAAACCATGAGGGTGGTACCTACAAACGACATGAGAGCACTGGGAGTGTAATAAAAAGCACACATATGAGCGATATCATAACATCTGTCGACCAGCTCGTCATCTACCAAACTAACCCCGCCTAAAAAGGGTTCCTACTCGGTATTTCCACACTTATCCCTATAGCCTGACACATAAACAATAAGTGCCCTTATTTATGGGTTTCTCTCGAGTTTATGGTCGCCCCAGTGTTTTGCTTATAGAGCACGAATCAATTATCGACAACAGGAGATCAAAAGAAAAGTTATGGAATTAGCGAGAAGATCTAGTGAGGTACATATAAGAGGATTTCGGCATTAACATGTAAAACAGGATAAAAAATAGTGGTTGAAAACATGTTTCGATCTGAGTATTGATAAAAATTCTGTATAAACATGGTACTATAGCAAATTATGACGACGACATATAATCATATAAAGTGCTGCGTACAACAAAAAATGTAATTATTTATTTGTCTTACCTAAAGTAAACATTTTCAATTCGTTTTTGAAATTGCAGCCTCTGCATTCTAAGCATATCAATGCATTTATAATCAAGTACATTTATAAGTTCTTTGTGGATCTCCGTATATCTATTTCATCGACATCTTCGTGCAATCGAGTCGAACCTCAGTAAAAATGTCGTGCATGTATAAAACACGATTAAACATGTCTGATACCCTCACCGACACTGCCATGTACTTGGTTCCAAATCGATGTATTCGAGCCGCGCTTATTACGGGTGCTATCTATGATGCGAATGCTGCTTTACTCCCTGATACAGGCGCTGTAAAACCCCGTTTAAATGAAAGACATCACACTACATCGCAAATTAGTCGTTCAAATGTGTTATCGCACCAAATTCTCTAGCGGGGAATCGTAGCTGATCACGATCTATGCCACTATTTCTATTATTCGCAATTCGCAAGAAAAACTCGCGACACTGCACGAATTAAATAAGTTACACAGATAATCGAAAATATTCTAATATCGTTGATCAGTCTTGATAAATCAGTCAGCTATAAAAGGTACTTTAAACCAATGAATTCAGCTGCATCAACGGGAAAGCCTGGAGGCTCCAATTCGGTAAGTACAAAATATAGAACTAAAAATAAATCTGATGTATGAAATCTATAAACTAAAAATCTGATGAATGGAAATAAAAATATATTTAGTCCATTTATTTTTCATACTTGTATATGTAATGTAAAATTGTTCATTATCCTGGGGGTGTTGCCTATAGGAATTTGGGAATTCATATATGTTGCTTTATTCGTATAACAACAGATGTAATAGGAGTGATAAAGGGCAAATATAAAAAGATGATTTAAAGTGCATTATATATGAATTATAATCTAATCTACTCTAATCAACTTAAAGGAATTTAATATTTTAAAGTTTAGTCCTTTAACTGAGTTTCCAAAGCAATGATATAGACATGAAAAAAATACGTGTACGTGTTCTCATTAGATAAGTTTCATTACAGCAGTAAATAATTTAACACAAACCTGTTCAACAGCCAGTTGCAGCCACTCGAATAATTATTCATTTTTCCTATAGGAGAATATGAGCTACTTAATTTGGGTCGCATTCCTTGTGATAAAGTACACAATTGCTTTAATGGAATTTCGACAAAATTTTGATAACTATTAATACAAAGTGTTAAAAAAATAAGTTTCGAAATGACATTGAAATTGAAAATATGAAACATTAAATTGACAATTTTTATGAAACGTAATATTGAAACTTATTTTTTTAACCTTGTATTAACATTTATCAAAATTTCAGTAAAGTCGGTTCTTTTAAGTAACACGTATTCTCCTATAGAAAAAATGAATAATTATTCGAGTGGCTGCAACTGTAATTTGTTACATAAAATTTCAAACATATCAAAAACGGTTAATCTTAGGTATAGGATGTTATAAATGAAATACACTTAGAATACAAGTAGACTTGAAAAATATAATAATATATAAGGTGCTCCATTTAAAATGAGCAAGTTGATACCTACTTCTGGTATAACCGGAAGTGTCGGCACTTCAGCACACTGTCCAATTTTCAAATTTCTCTTAATTACAGTTTGCCAGATATTTGACACAGACAGTGGGACACCCTGTTTATTAAAGAGACTAATGTCTCAAGTGTTGTAAACATTTTCCAGTCCTTTCGAAGTACCCCCCAGTAATTATTTCCGCAGATCTAGAACCATCCTAATTCTCTACCACAACACGAGTTTCTGATTACGCCGGTATGCATAGTCAATCAGCACCGATTCGCCGGGATATCGCCGTCATGGATGAACACAGAAGCATTGTTGCCAAGCTTTAGGTAAAGAAAGTCGCATAGTCACAAACAAAAAGTCGCCCAAATCGCCCAACGCAGACGCGCATATCGCAAATTCCACATTTGAGACTTGGCAGCCTTGGCAGAAAAATATCCGTTGGCCCAGATAAAAATATTCAATTTTCTCACTCTCACTTCTCACTCAATCGTTCGTTCGCCGATCTTAATTCCGTGTTTCTTCGCGAAATGTCGGAGATGGTCTTACCCACCTCTGACAACTCGCCAAGTAAATACTTTTAGGAAGTTGGGCTGCATGTGTTTTAGTATAAGTTGATTAATAGAAATATTAAGAACAGTTTGAGATATTAAACATGGATCGAGATCTCGAAATGTTGTATACTGTACATTGAGATATTTTGGATGCAGAATTGGACATAACGACGTTGGTTCGCCGTCGACTCGCTTTTCGCTATGCCGGCTTTTGTTACCGGCCAATCGCTGCGATCGACTATGCATACGGGCGTTTTTCAGTGCTTTGTTACATTCATAACACTGGTAGTAAAAGCATTCGTTTAAATGCGTTCTGCACCAAAACAATTTTTGAAACATAGTTGAACAAACATACAGTGAAACATATCCGAGACGGGAAAGAAATGCGAATAAATAAAAACAGCATCGTCACTGAAAGAAGTAAACTCCAAATATAATTTGATTCTCCCTGCACTTTTAAATTAATTCCTAGTAATCCCTTAAAATAATTGCCATCACTTTGAAATCGCCTTACATCACTAGCGGTTACATAAGCATTTTATATCACATAATGAAAGACTTCACTATATTTATTTAAATCAGTTTAAAAAATTACAAAAATAATAGTTTATTTTATAGGCCAGCGAATCACAAGAATCTGCAAATAGTGATAGAGAAAGCAACGAATTTGAGATTGACAATGCAAATGATTCACCAAAGAAGCCTACAAATTTTACTGACGAGATGGACAATATGTTCTGTAACCCGCAAACTCAAGAGATTTCCTTGCCATGCGGTAAGCCAGTAAAGCCATTAAAAAGCCGGATTCAGAACAAACAGAAGCTACGCAAACAAAATAAAACACCTAGAAGCAAGCCTGTATCGAAAAATGTAGACGTTTTGCAGACAACTGCATCTAGACATGACATTATTAATAGCTATTTAAAATCCATAGGACTTATTTTACAAAATCTGCCTGTTCAAAAGTCTATTGAGTTGTTGAAAGAAATCGACGCCAATTTATTAGATGCCTATAAAGAGAGTGTGACAAAATAATTATTGTTCTCCCCCTCATTCAGAAGCCCATTAACTTCACATATCTATTCCTTTATTTGAACAGAATACTATTTATTTCGTAAACTATTTAGCTATTTTAACTTCATGTTTAAATATTTAATGGTTGGCATCAGATATAGCGATATCCTTCAACTTAAAGTTGTATTTTTTAACAGCTTTGCATTTTCCCACTGGAAATTGCTTTACAATTAGAATGTTGCTCTTTCGCTAATTAATAAAATGTCCTTTTCCTACGTACAAATCAAAATAATTATTACTGCATTGCGTTTCTTCAACACCTGCTATTGTAGTAGGTGTTTACATTGATAAACTCCTCTAGATAATTTTGGACAACAATCAAGAATTTTTACTTCAAAAAATTATTGCCTAAAAGTAAAAAAACTGTAAAAAGTAGGGTACAGTTATATATAATAAGCCATGTTCTGGCTGCTATTGTGTACTTGTCTCATGTTTACATTTTTTTTATTGTTGTTAATACCCGTACCAATAAAATTGTAAAATGTATTCCGATTTTCGTAGTAAGTTGTTAAAAAGCATTTAAATATTTGTATTGTAACATATTGTAACGGAAATGGCCTGGGGTACTCACCTTTGGAATGGGGGATCGAAATTCATGGTATTTCAGTAAATGGGAGCCCCATTTGGGCCCTAGCAGAAGAAAGAGTTTGATACTCGGCCATCCACGGAACATTTGGTGTCAGAAGTGGGATTTATCAGAATCCAAGTTGAATTTTGATGGAAACAAGAAGAAAATCGGAGAAAGAAGACCCTGCAATGGAGAACCCCGTTTGATTGCACTGCTCATGCAGATGAAAGACGAAATTATGGACCAAATGGAAAACAACAGCAGGAAAATGGACGAAATGAGAGACAACAGTAGGAAAATGGACAAAATGAATGACAAATACAAAGAGATGCTGAATAAAATGGACGACAACGCCAAGAAATTTGAAGACCTGAAAACAACCGTTGAAGACAAACTAAAGAACATTGAGGCAGACAATACGAAGTTTCAGAACGATGTTAGAGATAAAAACATAAAGTTTCAAGACAAAGTTGACGAAAATATCTGCCGACTTCACGCACATGTGGAAGAAGAAATAATCAAAATTAGACAAGAAGTAACCAAGTACAATGCAGGATCTGATACCTTAAAATTTGATGCGCAATCTCCAAGCAGCAGTAAACTGAAGCCGCCAACATTCGATGGTAAAGTCGCATGGTCCACATATTTATGCCAATTTGAAGCCGCCGCAGTAGTTAACGGGTGGAATGATCAGGAGAAGGCAACAGCACTTATTATTTCCCTACGAGGCGAAGCAACGGAAATTTTACGATCCTTACCACAAGATCACCGTAAGAACAATCAGGCCATGCTTGAAATTTTTCAAATGAGGTATGGTGACACACATTTGAAAGAAGTCTACAAAACCCAGCTTAGAAGCAGACGACAAAAGAACAGT